AAGATAGATGAATATGTAATTATTAAAAATTATAAAACACTTGTGGAGAGTAAAAACACTTACGGTACAATTATGTCAACATGTTTTTTGAAGACTTCTGAGTCGTGGATGGCTTTTAACTCGGAGGACAAATTGTTCAAGATAGATCCACATAGCTAGTCAGGGCTATTACGGTATGTGGTGAGGCTATAGTTGTTCAATGTAACGTGTTATATTCCTTAGATTGTATCTCTGGGATGAGTAATGATGCTAAAGTTAGTATTGTTTCCTCTAAATGTTTTTCGACAAGACTCTAGAGGATGCAATGAGAATAAGAGTCTATTCTTTTCTGAAGGATAAAGATTCGTTGGGCTTCAACAGTTGATCAACAATATCCACTTAAATGACAGGATCCATTGATCTACAGAATTTCTGAAACCACAGCCTTTAATTTATTTACCAGGATGTTAGCTTAAACACAGTCGCCCACTTCGCCTAACCTTTAATTTGTGTTACTCCGTCTATGATGGTTTTCTGGATATTTCGTCAAGTAGATTGACTCAGTACTCATGACGCATTGATATACAACTGACGCGGACTAACAAACCGACATAAATGAGAAACACGGAGCTGTGTGATGCAGATATCTTGAAACAACAGAAAACTTACGAAGCGAAGTTCGAATATTATCGAGAGTTTAAATACTTCCATCGTGGTGGAAATAAAATCGCTGGAACATAGTTAGGCTTTTGTAATATTTCTAATTTAAGATTTTGGCCTATAAATGGAATATTATCTGTTGGGCAATAAAAGCTATAAATAAATAACTAAATAAATAAACAACGTTTCAGAGATTCCCGCTCGTTTTCAGACATTGTTTGGAGATGATAACAATTGTAGGTTGGAAGCTGTATGCGATAAATTGTTGCATATCTGGGGTCGGTAAACGACCTTCTATTATTAAGAAGCGGCTGATCTCTCTGATACTATGCACCTGTTAGAGATAATAATTCACACATATTTTCCCAACATCTGCCATGAAAACAGAAATACGATAAATTTGCTTTATATAGTTTTATATGCAGAGATCAAATATTCCTCGTACGATTTGACTTCTCCATTTTCTTTAAAACCTCCAACGATTGCGTCGGAAGTATAGAGTAAATCTACTTGAAGCCATTTTTTATTGGTGTAGTGGATTATTGTCAGTTTATTTAAATTTTCCCTAACCCCAGAACCCTACGAACCCCGCTTCCAAATGTTGTATCCATGCATCAGTCGTATCACCTCTGAATTTCAACTTGCCAAATTGACCCATTCAAAAAAGAAATGAGGGAGGGCGGATATTTTTGAAAAGCGCTGTATGCGCAAGATATTGATTATCCCATGACGTTCGCTGCACATGCCATGACGTCCCATACGGTTTTGTAGTGCATGCTACCAATTTTTCAAGATGTCAAAATAAGGTCACTGACTCCGGATCGATTATACAGGGGGAGATAAACTGATAAACCCGCAAGTGACATACGTTGAAACAACAACCTTCCATTATAGTATCACAAAAGGGAAACTACTAACAGTTCTAAAATACTAAAATCGTTCGCTAAATAGTTAATTAGGATTTCCTGTGGAGTTAATCTTTATCACCCTTGTTACTGGCGAGACATACGTTATCAGTAGGTACGTGTATTTTATGTTGATTATAATTTCCGTAGCAGCAGGATTTGACTGTTCATCATGAATTATGAGCACAATTTGGAGTAGTCCAAGAATTTGCGCCAGCGACAAAGAGGTATTGTAGGTAATCGCGAAAAAATCCGAAAATGAGATACGAGGCGTTGTTCCAAAAATATGGTTTCTACATTTTTTTTTCAGGTACAAGAAATTTTTTATTTAAAAAAAAGAATTCACTATTGGAAACGTTGATCTCTAAGCTACTTTTCTCCATAGTTGCCTACGCATTTTTTTATACGTGAAATTCACTTTACCACTCCCGCCTCAAGGAATTCCGCCACCAGCCCATTTAGGAACTTGGTAACTTCTTCTTACACATACAACTTTTTTGTATCTTGAATTTTTTTCGTATCTTGTTTAGTGTCCGAGACAAAAAAAGTCGACTTAATTGCATCCCTGGAATGTGGGGAACAGTTTATTTTGGAAGTTATTTTTTATTACTAATTATGTTAATGTTATTTAGTATTTGTTGTTGCTAAATAATTAGTAATAAAAAATTATAAATAAAATAATAATTTCCAAAAAAAACTTCATTTCTTCAAAAAAGTTGTATTTCTATTTCCTTAATCCAAAGAACATAATAAAAATTGCACAAAAGTCAGTGACGAACATTTTTTTTTCATAAATATTCGTTCAGATCCCGCTCGAGTACGCCACTGGGCTTAATAAATTTAATCAAGTTAGGACTAGATTAGCTCCTTAATGTTATAAATACCACCGCCAAATTACAACAAAATTAGGTAAAGGATATTTAAGATATTTTCGTAAATACCTATGTTTATATGAACTTTTTGTCTTAAAATTACTCAAAGAATCGTCTATTAAATTTATGGTACACACCCTAGTACTTTAGAAAAGCTTCAAGCTCATGGACATCGAGATGTGACATGCTGAATTTATACAAAAAAACAGCCAAATTTCATTCCCATGAGCTTTCTGCGGGGTCTTTATCAAAACATTTAACGACTCTAAAATCTCGAATATCCTGTACATGATTATTTGAGTACAAATTACATTCCTATATTGTTTCAACTTACATCGAAATCTCTGAAATGTGAGTTTGGAGAAGGAGTTCTTTGTTGCAAATATACGATCAATTCTTTTTCTGAATTTCATTTTTTACTTGCTGTTAAATTACACATATGAAATTATAAACGCGTCTGACATCACAGCTAGGTAGTAGGTAACCGCATATTACTTTAAATTGCAAGTGGAATATTTAATCACATTATAATGATTCTAATTTAAAGACGAACTTCGTGGTATCCCCCTCCAGTTCAGAGGCGCAGGTACAAAAACATTTTATAGGATAATCTATCCTGAAAAAATGTTCCTTACTTCCCTCTAATCTAAAGCTCGACCTCAGTCATAAAAGAAGTGGGATTTCATTGGAATTTGATTGGGACTGAAGAACCATTTTCATTTTTTGAACAGATGAAGTTAGTAAGTTGAAATTCGGGATACTGTAAGAATGTTTGCTTAGCTACTATATTTTAGCGTAAAATAGTTGAAAATTTCAAGATCGCCATCATGGAACATTTTTAAAGAGTCGTGCGATACTTCATTTTGAAACTCTTTGTAAACACTTTTCAACCTAAGAACATAAATTTACTGTCTTTCGAATTGGCAGACTCGCGCGCTTCCAAAGTTGAGCGTTATTTACATTGAATCGCTTGTAACTCAACCTCAATGGCAGGGTCTATCTGGAAATGAAATGAAATAAGGGACAGTTTTTGAAAGAAATGTTCCATATTTCATTACATATACAGGGGCAGAACCTTTCAGGTGAAGAAGATTGTTATAAAATACTATAGCATTTTGATGATGTTCAGTTACAAGCGATTCATGAACAAAATGCTGATACAAAGTGTGATTTTATATTCTAGGGTTACAAAATACTAGTAAGGAGCTTCACAATGAGGTATTACATGACCCCAATTAGGGTGAATGCGCCAGTAACCCGGAGACTACCAGCAGTCGGACAAATCTTATATTGGTAAAAATTTGAATATCTATTTGAAATCCTATAATTGCTGATAATTGGTACCAGCTAATTTGTAACAGTTTACAAACATTTCACAATCCCGGTTGTCAAATTGACAACAGTATTAGAGCGTCAAAAACAGCATCCATTCGATTCCTCAATTTCTGTCAGTTGTGTAGTGACATAAACTTTAAAGGCAATTGGAATCGTCAGCTGACAATATATCACAACGCTGTTCGTGTTACACATGCAGAAGACATGCAAAATTTACGAAATAAATTAATCTTAATACGTTATTTTAACATTTTGAGGTCAAACTGGAGTGGCCGTTGATTGGTTCATCATACTAGTCAAAATTCAACAGTCGGGCAAGTGTCCGACTATTGGAATGGCGTGTCGTTATCAATCTGTCTTTTTCTTTTTAAACATAGAAACTATCAAACATTTGTCTTGGAATTAAAGAAACCAAAATACGACAAAATAACAAATAATGTAGATTATGGCCAGTGATTATTGTGTTCTACTGCTGGAGTGAACAAATTTCATAGCACTCAATAACCGGCCACTTCCATTTTACCGGCTTCTTTTGACGAGACTATGAAATAAAATTTCACATTTTCACTTCTAAAATAAATTTCGTATATTTAGTGGAGGTAGGTTAAAGAAGGCAGTCGAAGATATGAGAAATGTTGGGAAAATCTTTGAAATATGGTAGTTCAAAGCCGACAGTACAGGACCGGATTAAAGGCAACAATTTGTTTCTTGTTCATGTTTGCATAGTTTGTGTGTATATTTGATAAAAATATCTATATCAAATGGATTCAGTATAAGTGTATTTAATTCCTTTTCCACAAAGTCTTGATGAAAAGGTATTTGGAATGTCGATTCTACTATCACAAATTTTTAAATACGGACCTGTCTAAAACTTGCCAATCAAATGCTGTCCGACAATTTGAAACTAGTCAGCTGACTAGTAGCACCTTCTCTTCGAGTACTTGCCAAAATAGCACCTTTTTGATTGATTTTTTTTATAAAATTACAGGAATAGCTATAAGCAGCGTATTTGTTGTTGGTAAAAAGTTAACAACAACATGATCACATCCAAAAACATTTGTTTTATTGTTTTGAACACAAAATTCGTAATTACACTTTGCCTATTTTTCTTAACTGTCTGCCCTCTGAAACATTTACCCTATTTGGTACAAAGTGCCTGAATAAACCCCCTGCCTACGCTCATGTGTTAGGCGGGGGTCTCATTAAAATATCTGGTAGATGCTCAAGTTCTTAAATCCCAAAAGCTTACCTGCCTGACGTTCGTTGAATTTTGATGAAGGATCTTCCCTGTTACCCGAAATGTTTCTTCTCATTTTCATCGCACAGAAAAATTATCAAGTTCTTACTCAAACTTGAAAATGTAAATTATTACTGACAACACAACAGATGACAGTTTGTTGGTACCGGACGCACTTAAACTTTAATGAGTCTGCGCATGTGTTACTTGTGAAACGTTTTTTGCCTGAATATTATAACGCCATACAAAACATTATGCTTATGCCGTATAGCAGTTCCTACTATGAAATAGGTAATGAGATAGGCAACCAGGTATGCAACGGTGGTAGGGGTCCATTATTGAGTGTAAAAAAATAGTATCAGGACTATCAAGTAGACTAGCTCAGTTCGTCGCTATAATAAACCGTCTTTATTGATTTTCATAAACAAAGAAATTGGTATAATACGAGTACAATACCAGTGGCGAAAAAGCTAAAATAAACTTGAATGTCGTCAGCGTACACTTGTACTTTTACATAAAATATCTGCCGTGTACATTATTTACAAGGGCCCAAGTATAGACCCTTGCGGCACCCCTGATAGAAAATCTATGCTTTCTGAATAAAACAATCACATCAACGTCCGTTTTGTGCAAGGGATAATAAGTTTTGATACCGTTATAAAGGATTTCTTACTTAAGCTGAGATTTATGTCTAAATGTATATCATTCTATACTCTGGTACGAGTATCGAAAGCAAGAAAGCAGTAAAACACATCGCACGTTCAAGGCAGTGCGGCATCTCTTTGAACTGGCACAGTCGGGGCGCTGGTATCCCGCCATTTTTAGAGAGAAGAAGAAGAGATATCACGTTAGCATGTGCGTGCGATGTGTTTTCGGTACCACAATATAGAATTACGTCAATGCTAAGGGATCTTGAATGATAAACATATAATATTAGGGTACAATTTTTATTCATATCCAACAGTAAAAGATACCATGAATCAAATTTCAGATCCTGTGATTGAAAGAGTTTCAGCATACAGGTCATATATTGTTCTAGCAACAGTACTCAAAAATTAGTTTAAAAAGTGCAATACAGTCGATACTAGTGGTATAGTGTTGACAGCATGTATTTAGTAACAAAGAGCGATAAAAATATCGTTCCTTCTGATACGACTTTAACCAGGAGATACTACTACTTCTCCATGCTTTTCGGGCCAAATGAAACCACGCATGCCTTTTCTGGCAATTACAATATATTTTATAATTATCTGTGTTTCCTATGACAGTTCATTCGTATTTTACTCTACTATACAATCGTCGTGGGTCCTAACCATGCCGAGATCGCGCAAGTCAGTTTTTAGATAGCAAGCGAGCATGAGGTTTTCTGTTGTTTAGATGTATCAGACAGGTCACAAGTCACTGTCGCACATCGCCCAGAAAAGGTCAATCGTTCTAGAGAACGTGAAAACTCATCCAGAACTTGTCGCGACATATCGGTTGACTGTTATGCAGTGCTCAACTATCAGTGCTCTGTCTGCATTGTTCAAGGAACCGAAATGCATGAAATTGTCCTTGGACCCCTCAAGTGCACCATGTTGTCTTGTGAGAAAATGATATAAGACACAACAGATTGGTCTTGAAGTGCAGATTCGGGATCCAATAACAAACCAGAAGGAGAAAATGGCGAAGTTGACTTGTATGAAAAAATTAGCTACGAAAATGTGTAACAAAAAATTAAATAACTCTCCTCCTCTCTCTAAGAGAAATTCCTGCGGACGCACATGATCGTTGCTATGACTAATCTCACGTGGATGAAGATAGTCGTGATGTATATGCCGTATAGCAACCAAACAACATAATATCTTATTTTCGAAATATCTCCAAGGCACGGGAGTTAAATCTGGAAGTAAAAAAGCTATGGTCCACTAGTCGATTTGGAGATTACCAATTATATCATTCCTTCAAGGATATTTAACCAAATTAGTGCAAGATTCGGGATGATGAGCGAAGGTTACTTGCGACTTGTCTAGTCATCCAAAAACAACAGATAACCTCATGCTCGCTTGTCGCTTTTGGGAGCGGGAACGCCTACCCCAGGCCGACCTGACCTTTGTGTACAGGACCGTTGAGAATATTCTTGCAGCACACTGTATAGTAGAGGAAAAAACTTAACTGTCATCTGGAAGACAAATGAATATAAAATATGTATAATGTCATTTTCATTTTGATCTTTGAAAAAGGCGACCGGGGTACCCGAAACTTCTGTAAATACATACATATGTGGTTTCATTTGGCCTAGACAAATATGCAGGCCCTATCAGCATAAAACCATAGGGTAACTTCCAGATAAAACATCGCAAAGAGCCATCTATCACACCAGAATCGACCACTGCGGAGAACGCATAGCTGCTTTTAGTTGGAACTGTTAGGCATCTCAGTTCACGTGTTTAATAGCCCAGTCACCACGTGACCGCTAGATGACCGACGATTCTGGCTGTAAAGTAGATGTCGTCTTCTTGCCATCATGTTTAGTTTCTTTCAGATGTTACATACTAGAAAGATGTTCATTCTATTCTGTGAACTACTACATAGATTTTGAGTAACTTCATTTTGAATACTTACTATAGCCTCACCATACTACTAGTAATAATCACACAGCTCACAGGCAAATGATGAAAGGTATAGAAAAATTATCTTTAACTTTACAATGATTGCTATGATACATGTCGACAGAGTGGTTGTGATTTGTGCCACAGTAGTGCGAATTGTTGCAACAAAATGTTACATTTAGCGTTACAGGCCAGTCAACAAGGTGAAGAATACTTGAAATTAATATTTTTGAACAGCAATGTGACACACACAAAGTGAATATTCGAACTGGTTCTAGAGTGTAGAAAGGCTTTGGAGTGTTGTAGTTTATTACAGTGGTGTCCCACCCGTGCGAGGACAAAGTGTTTCTCCTAAATAAGACTATCAAAAAAACACTATTTATTGGTTATTATATATTGTATCGGAAGGCATGTTTCAAAAATATTTACAATTATACAGTGTCCCAATTTTGACACACATATCAAAATAGATTTTTTTAAATCGAAAGCTCCACATTTTATTACATATTCGCATAGATCTTTTTAGAAAAAGGACATTGATATAAAATACTTATGGATTTTGATATCAATTGTTGAGCTATTCGGTATTTTATCTAAAAAAACTTCAAAGTTTGATAGTTGGAGTAGTGAATTTTGTGTCAAGACTATTTTATAATACTCAATTTTAGCCTAATTCATAAATTTTTCGGAATATTTGAAGGATCAATACAGGGTGGTCAAAAATGCAAAATGTACTTTTTCGCAAAAAAATTAAATGGAGCACCGTGTGTATTTTTGCACAATCAGAACTCCATTTGCTTAAGCCTTTTTTATATAAGTTGTTACCAGTTTGCTCAGAAGGTTTCTGCGTTAGAGCTCTTTGTTCCAAATAATTGGATATTTCTCTATTCAAAAAAGTCGCTAAACCCTACTGAGCGGGGCCGTGGCAAATGCTTGTTCCGGAAGATGTTATATCCAGTATACAACTTCTTCCCGTTCAAGTGATTGTACACGCCTTAAGGAATACCTCAGTACCGATTGCCGGGTGGCTGTACAAGTCCGACAACGGGACACTTTAGGTCTATTTAATATCACTAACACGTAAAAAGAAGGTAGTAGACAAGGACCAGTCGACCGAGGCGTTACTACCCGCTAGCTTTTTCGAGGGTATCTTATAAATGTCCGCATGTTTCCACACCTAAGCTATGCAGTCGGTTATCTTCCAAAACAAAGAAATTAATGATAATGGATCCCTCGAGCACTAAGAACTCCGGACGTAGACTCACTCCACTCTCGGAATGTCCGGGTGGAGGGTGGGCTCGAAGGAACAACATCGAAGATAAAATTTGTTTTTCGGACATCTGCGGGAGTAACAGCAAGATTGATGCTGTTCATCACTACCTGCAATCCAATCGTACCGCCGTGCTTTTCTTGGCGGAGAAATCTCAGAGTCTGCACCGATTAACCATCTCAACTTCCCAAACTACGAGGTGCACTCCAATCTGAGAAAGAACGGGGGAGTTGACTGACTTTGGCGTCCCATCCTAACCGTGTCGAACTTCGTGCATCCAGAACTGGCCGATACGACCGCTCCTTTGTCCCGAGGTTGTCGAGATTGTGGAACAATCTACAAGAGGAAGCTTATTCCACTTCTACTAACCTTAGGCAGTTCAAAAATCGTATTAACAAAGTTTCTTTGGGATCATCATAGCAGCCGCGGTGTTCCGGCATTTAGGCTTCTGCTTGCCCGGCTGCATTGATATATAAAAAAACATCCATGGAAACAAAAAATAAGTAAAGGATTCTATCTTTGACACCCTGTAGAATCAGGCCAACAGGTCTGAGGAGACGAGGGGTATAGAGGTTTATCCGACTTTTATGTAATGCTTGCGAAGTCGTAAATTGACATAGCGTAAATTTTCATTTTCATCTATGGATATTGACAGGAATGTCAACAGATAGTCTGGCCAAGAAATATTTTTGGTACTGGGTGTCCAAAGGCCAAACTTACTCGACTAAAATGAGAGAACCGAGTATTTTGAAAAAAAGTAAGTGGTTTTGGAGAGTCAAGATGAGTTTGTCATTGTATAGGTTTTTGGATTGTTAGGCCGTCGTAAAATATTTTTAATTGACGTTTCGCCAGCACGAGTGGTTGACATCTTCAGAAGGTGTTCACAGTCCTGTGAGCTACTGACATCTTCGCGGTCGTAGCTCATATTTATATGTGGCAGCTCGAGTGGTGGGGAGAGCTCTTCGGGAAACACAAAAATTGGATCATCCAAATGGCAAAACAACAGCCGAGTCATCCCGAGTACGACGCCAGCCGAGGATTCTCGAAGAGCTCTCCCCACCACTCGAGCCGCCTCTTATAAATGTGAGCTAAGACCGCGGAGATGTCAGTAGCTCACAGGTCTCCGAACTGTGAACACCTTCTGAAGATGCCAACCAGTCGTGCGAACGTCAATAATGTACGCTGACTACCCAAAAACCGACCAAATAACATTTTGTGATGGTCGCGAAAGCCTTTCACATTTCAAGATAAGTTTATTGTTACCTGGTCATTGATATGAATTAAAATGTTTCATTTCTATATTTTCCTGCCGAATTCATAAATCTACACCAAGACACCACAAACTGACGTTAACTCTGCTGCTGCAGCTGTTTCAAATTACAAAACCAAATAATATATAAAATGAATTGAGGTTGTACTTTGAGAACGACTACGGCTAGTAGTCAAAATATTAGTTAAGCAATTTACTACTATAGTATGTATATGTGGCAGCTGTAGTAATTGGATAAAAATAGAAAGCCCGTTTTCTAACGTAGTTGACAAAGATGACAGAAAAAATATTCCCATAGGTTTTTCAACTATACATTCACGAGGGGCTCCTGAATAAGAACCAACACGAAAAAAATCCCATTAGATTGTTTTTATATACTCTTGTGGGGTCTTGAATAAGTGCCAAAATGATGCCCACGTGAAAACTGCAATTTTACCATAATTCAAAACAGAAATTTCACTAGTGAGGAAGATGTTTGTGTTCGAGTTGAAACAAGCAAAATTCTGTATTTCAGGGCGTTTAAGCAAAAACGGATTGTAACTCAAAACAAAAACTTTTGCCTAACATACCAATGAAATTTTAGCAAATTCCGAATAGGCACCATTTGATTTATGTGTGAGATGATTATTACTGATGATTACTTAGTCGCCGATTATTAGAAGCTATATTTTCCATCCCTGACATAGTAATAACCTGTTTCAGATATTAATAAACTACTAGTGTTACTTTTCTAATTGGCGAGAATCGAAGATGATAGTGCAATCGGACAACAGTCTAAAGGAAATGAGTAACACGTTTTTTTCAGCATATTTATGACATACTCGTAGATATTTGCGACTATAATTTTTCTTGCACTCAATATTAGCGTGGAAACAAGAGATAGGGTGAATAACTATTTTTTCATCGATATTGTTTACACGGATTATCTTAAATTTCACCGATGTTTTTATTAGGGACGTTTAGTCTTGTTTGTCCTTTACTGCATTACGGACCATCCCAAAACAGCGAGAAAAGTGAGCATTTCAGGAAAAAAAAAATGCATAGCTAAAAAAATAATGAACAAAAATGTGGAAAATTTGTCTGTGGTCACCCTGTCCTTGGACCTACGGCTAGCTCTTGCATTAGCTGCAAAGATAATTTTGGCTGCAACAGAAGAGTGGATTCATAATCAATACTCTCCGAGGCGGGAAAATATTTCCTGCTAGACAAGGAAACTAATCGTAGGCCCTACTGCTATCGAAGGACGTTCATATGTATCTTTGGATAGGATAAATTTTCGATTGCTGGTCAAGCCGTCAATCAATGTCGGTTGTTGATGAACCGCTTTTTAAGTAATGGGAAATGAGAAGTCTATATTTTAGGTTACTATGAGGCCTCAAGGTGCCCTAGGCAGACTATAGATACTGGCATCTAGCGTCTTGGAACCAGAAGGAAGAAGATGGACACCAGGGCCAACTTGGCCTTCGCGAAAAAGATCGGTCTTAGGAACTGACGAGGATAGACGCGCAAAAAAGGCTATTAATTGATTATTTGTGTTTATAAAAATTTTTAAATCGTTATTTTCGCAAAAAAAATCCTTGTTGATTGGCTGTATGGGTTTGACAATATAGGCAAAGGCTACTTTTCGGTTCCTCCTGTAACTAAAGAATTAGTCTAGTGTCTTAGCACATACAGCTTCCCTCCGAGTCTTGTTGGTTATTTTGTAGCTGAGGTTGAGTCTGCAAGTCCACAGCTGTATCCGCTCATAAGGAAAATATAAGCTTTCATGGCGTATCCAAATTACAACATCGAACTTGAAACACATTGAAATTTAGTAGAAATACGTACGCACAACACTGAACATGACATCAGAATAGCGCACAAATCTTAAATAAAGCTATATAGGGAAATCTTCCATGATCGGTGCATTGTTTTTATGTTTTTTTTTTAGCCGCATGTACCTACTATGGATATGTATACGCACCTGCGTAATATCTTCTCTGGGGGTAATATGACTTTATTTGGCATAATATGTAGATTTGTGCCTTATTCTTTTTTTACCAAAAAAAACGGTAATATTTTGCTTACCTGCTGACAATGTTCTTTATTTCTTTTTATTATGATGTCACTATTTTATAATAACCTAAGCAATAAGGCGCAATGTTCCTCGAATATTAGTTGCTCGTTTTTAATAACTAACTCAATAAAACATGCCTATGAAGCAAAAATAGCAACTATACTTACCATAGTTCATTTCCTTCCAAAAATTGAATTGTGAAAAAAATATTAATAGGCATTTGTAAAAAAATACATATACAAATATGAGAATTCCATGAAACGCAAACAAGTTGTGCAGAAGTATTTTTAATAAATAATTAAATTGACAGGTAAATAATAAAGACTAACAAAAAGTTCTAGACTTGGTTTCAATTACATAACATCATATCTCCACAGACCTTTTCACTTCTCTAGTCATTCTGAAATGAAACTGGGAAAAATATAGACATCCATTTTTTCTACAAACCCACATACGAGGGTTGTTTCAAAAATAAGGTTCCCAACGCTGTAACTTTACCGCACGTGATGCTAGGCGAAATCTGGCAACACCGTCGTGTTTTTAGGATCCCCCACCATCAATCCCAACAAGGAGCGCCTATTTGCGACGCTCAGTACCGGCCTGACAGCCGTGTGCAATGGAGGAGACCTTCATCGCCGTCACCGCCAGGCGCGAAATTCATGGGGTCATCCGATTTATGCACGCAAAAACATTACCACCCATAGAAATTCATCGCCAGTCGAGTGACTTTTTTTTTATACTCCGACTACCACGAAGGCGTAAGGCCTAAGCACCCATTGGGTACCGTGGGGCTATAGAGGGATACATGGGAAAGGGGGAACGCCCCACGGACTCTGGCGAGGGAACACGTGTGCATGCAACATGCACACATTCTGGATCCGCCTGCGAGATCCGCCGGGTGGTACCTCCGCGTTTTTTTTTTTTTTTTTTTTTTTTTTTTTTTTTTTTTTTTTTTATACTCCAACTACCACGAAGGCGTAAGGCCTAAGCACCCATTGGGTACCGTGGGGCTATAGGGGGATACATGGGAAAGGGGGAACGCCACACGGACTGTGGCGAGGGAACACGTGTGCATGCAACATGCACACATTCTGGCTCCGCCTACGAGATCCGCCGGGTGGTACCTCCGCGTTCGACAGTCAGAGACCGTCTACCACCTACGGACAATCACAACATCCATAGCCAAAAGAAAAATTTCTCCTGGGACGGGACTCGAACCCGCACAGCGCACGGCGACTGAATCAGGAGACCGAAGAGTCTACTACTGCGGCCACCGCTGCTGCCTAGGTATATGAGAAACGTGTATATGCATTCAACATGTCCTCAAAGATCGCACCACGACAATGCGCATCCTCATGTCTCCCAACAAACGAATGACTGAATCGAGCAATTTGGCTGGGCAGTCATTGCCCATACCCTTCACAGCCCTGACAGAATTTCCAAAGAAGCACCTAGTCGGTCAACGGTTCGAGACGGACGACGAGTTGCAGGAGCAGGAGCAGTTACCAAGTGCATTCCACATCTAAAAAACTGGTTAGAAAAAATGGCGAACATGTAGAAAAATAGCTTAAAGATCACCGTTTCTAATGATAAATTCGTTTTTTCACATTGAAAATTCCTTGTGCCTGGAACAAATGTGGGAGCCTTATTTTTGAGACAGCCCTCGTAGCATACTGAATAAAATCGAAATCGCCACATTTTTGGGTTTTAGTTTCGAATTAAGAAAGTGAAAAGGACTACACTACAAACATATAATAAAGGTACTAAGAAAATTAATAAGTTAAACAGAATACTTACAATCACGCAAAAATATATAAAGAATATATAAATTATATATACATCTATTTTTTCAAGGTATCAAAATTGAAACATAGCAAACTGTACTTGAGATAACGAAGCATACATTTTTTACTGTGTCGATAGACTACACTCAGAACATTTCAAACAAAAACAATTATATAGAAGATGCTGTCAAATAACTCTAGGCCGAGTACGGTCCATCAAAGTCAAATTCATACGAAAGGTGTGAATCTATTGTGAGTGCTTGGGCACAGTGATGTACCAGATAAAGTGAAGACAGGTCACCTGGGGCCAAATGCTTCTGGGTTGGCCACGAATCAACGGTAGGAATTGGCAGATGCCAGATTAATACCGCAGTGTGGCAGAAGCATGGTTAAGTAACGACAACGTCGTTTGAAAAGTAAAGAGTCGCTCAATTTTCTGGTTGGAATTGTTTTACTGATTTTTTTTTGTTCAAAATGTCCATGTATATAGTGTAAATCAGTTATACGGCTTCACAAAAATGTACCTGAATTATAAAGTACTTACTTCTAATACTACAGTGGCTGCAGTCCATGTGATATTGATAACTAAAGAGGTTACATGTTTTTGTCTCAAAAATCGTATTTCTCGTTTCCATTCAAATTCCTTGTAAAAGGATACTCAATAAATGTTGATGAGAGTTTTCACCTTATAAGTTTAGCAATTAATGGAAAAGTTTCTAATGGAATATTTCGCATCCAAGCAAAATCATGTAACCTCATCCTACCTTTTGATATATTGCATTCTACCAGTTTTTATTGCTTTAAATATCAGAATATATTTGAAGGATATTCAAAATGTGTCGTTTCACTACGGAATATTTTTCTACTGAAAAACGCTCCGTACTTTCTGAACGCCCCTCATATAGAAATTAGTGTCACTAACAGCTTCGCATCAATTTTAGAATATATGATAACAAAGCCTGTGCAGTGACGCATCATATCAGAATACTTACAAGTCTCGTCCAATATTGCTTGACGAAAAATTTGATTTACACGCACAATATAAGAATTAAATTTTACACATGTCTCAAGTAGAGGAGCGTCGAAATAGTTTGTCACAATACTCACTATGAAAATTTTACGAATTTTGCAGATTTTTGGAATATCACTTTCAGTTTATCACCAAGCAATAGTGGTCATTGCAAAGCAAGTATGCAATTGCATGTTTTTTCAGATTTATATTTTGTACAGCAATCTCATGAACTGGGCTATGTACATAGTTTTCTCAATAAATAGTAGTTACTTATAGTATGCCGTTAGGTGCATGTCTGTCAAACAAGGCTATCAAAACTTTAAATGCAAGTGGAGTCATAAAAAAATCGCACTTAATGATACAGTGCAAAATACAACATATTTTTAAATGTTAAAAACTCTCAGGTCATTTGCATGTCTGTGTAAAATTTCTTTGCTCATGTGTAGACTGACCTGGCAGTTGGACTTCAGCCATTATGGAGACTCCACGCTCTCTTTGTTCGTGATGCCATTCTTATTTGCCATAAAAATGGCACTGAATTTCATTAAAAATCATCTGAATATCCAAACACATTTTTAATGTTTCAAACAATGGCATGTTTAATGTTGCTTTGCACTATATCTCGATATAATGTTGAATTATTTAAGCAGCAAGTTATGTTATACGTTATATATTTTCTGTAATAATTTTAATTGTGAATTTTTATGAATCTTATGTTATTTAAAAAAGGTAAAAACGATGTATTATGTTATATGTATTATTATACAGCGGCTCGATATTGCCTTACACGTTTTGAAGAGCAAAACGAAACTTTTCAAACTGCAGTTAACCACGAGTCTCATCTCAGAACGTGATGAACAATATTACACAATGGCAGTTTGTTGTAAAATATTAATAGCTCATAAAATCTTCTGATATTCTAATATACAGTTCACAAAAAATAGGAAATCGATAAATTACGCTTAATAATGATATACAAAAATATATAGAGAATAATATAAACAATTGAATAAATAATAAATTCCAACACCAGGATAGGACCACCTTCACATAAATATACAAAGAATTCATGATGTCTGTCATCATAATCACTTTTAACGCAATACAATTTCAAGATTTGTGACAGAAAATTCAATGTCAGTAGTTTCACTTTAATTTTTTTTTTGTGAACTAAATATAACGTAGATTACCGTTTATTCTTTGTGTATACGTTTTCCAAAATGCAGGCTGGCTGCCTTATTGGACAGTTGTATAAAAAGGCCCTGCAGAATCTTTACTGTTATATTCGTAGCTTGGTTCAAGCAATTTATATTTTCAAAGTAGTGTTGCAAAGCATATGCAATTTGATACAAAAAAATACGCAGAATGTTTGGACGTATTTTCTATGATGCTGTCTCGACAATTGTGCCGTGTATCTAGAGCTGCTGTATAATATCACGTTGAGGTTTAGACTTTCCCATAAGAATTCCGCAGGGTCATTTTAGGATGTAGAACTATACTTAGACATGTAAAAAACTAACGTCGTATAAAAATTCTACAAAACACGAACATTCAAGCACATTTATGTAGATTTTAGCATGCACAGCCTCCCTCTGGATCTTTGACTTCGTTTGGTGTGTCTTTAAGAACAACTTCTTGCACTATGAAAATCATTAAGGAAAATAAAATGAAAACTAACAAAATCATACGACATGCTACGCAAAAAAGCTTCAAATGCTATAGTCATGCTTTTATTTTGAAAAAGGATACTGTCTTCTGGCGGTTTATTCTCCGTGGAGTCCATGCCAGGTAGAGCTGCAGCCACACGCCTGAAGAGCTGTGAAATTTAAAACTTGCAATATGAAAAAATATGACGTCAGATAGATCGAGTACGCACTTCCAGTTGTACTGGAACCGACACACTCGTTTTAAGTTTCAAATCACAAGGGTTTTCGTAACTTAACGTAACTTAACTTCGAAAATATAGGACTTTGTTGAAGAAAATTCCTCTCCAGGTGTTACTGGTTAAAAAATATCTATCTAAATAAGACTTGCGGGTGCTAGAGACAAACTGATATTGCTTTTGGAATCCACACATTTGATGTATCCAGGAAATGAATGTTCATCCAGGCACAGAGGTTTTTGAAAAATCTATCATAAAATATCTCATAAAAATGTTTCAGATTTTTTAGTGCAAACTTTCCATTTTCGCCTTCCATTGTGATATGGTACGTATAGGTAATTTGGAGTGTCATGAAACCGAATTTAAGGTGAAAAATATGCAGCTTGAGCCCCTGTGAATGCTAGTGACAAACTGACCCCAGATTAAAGTAAAATTCCCCTTCGCGGACCCCCTCTTACACGAACACCTCATTTAAACATGGTCTCGACCGGCACTCATATAATTTGCATTGTATCAACTCTCTGTTGACGGACATTTTCTTGAACGAACGCGGACGAGAGAAAATGTTCTCCTAACCGGAAAAAAACAACAACAAAAAGAAACACCTTGTCTTATTTTCGCTGAAACTTCTTCGAGTAAACCGGGGATTCACATACTTTAATCTTTCGGTACAAGCGCACCCATTTTACAGAAAAAGAGGAGACAAACGACAATATATGAATTATTACAATATATGACTTATTACGTCCTTAAAGTGACTTTTTATTTCATTGTTTTGTGTTACTACATATATATATATGTACATACTTTGTATATATCTGATGGTAACAAACCTTTTTCTACTTAAGTTTAATGTTTATTGTTCATTTTAAAAGATTTATATACATATACGTTTTAGAAGTCCCAGTTTCTTTAATATATTCAGTATTCATTAAAAACACGATTTTTTTTGTATTACTTTCATATAGAAACCCCTCTTGAAAGGAGACTTTCAGTTGGTTCCATTGATTGTCAGTCCAAAGGAGATTCCACTGAATTCATTTATATCCGATATACAAAGAATTTGCTGAAAATTTCTCATAGGAGACCACAAACTAATATTTTAGGGAATTCGATTTTTACTACAGTTGGCAAAAATAAGTTAAATACCACATTTTATGAAAACTATTACCTGTTTTACATTATAACCAGCTTTTGCACTGGTTTCAATAAACATGACATTCAGTTCCTTAGCTTTCCTCTCCCCTTCCTCAAGGTTAACTTGTCTTTTATCTGACAGATCAGTCTTGTTGCCAACAAGCATTATGATGACGTCACTACCCCTCTCCGTTCTTACATCATCAATCCACTTTGACGTCTGATGGAATGAATTTGCATCTGAAAATTTTATGTATGAAACATATATATGTCCTACATACAATTTAAACAATATTTAATGAAATTTATTATTTCTGTATGATATACTCACTAGTTATATCATACACCACAACTGCTACTGTAGAATCTCGAATGTATGAAGGTATAAGGGATCTAAAACGTTCCTGTCCAGCAGTATCCCAAAGTTGTAATCTTACTGTCCTATCTTCTAGATACATTGTTTTAGAAAGAAAGTCAATTCCTATGGTGGCCTATGGACAAGATTATTTGTTATTTTTGAATTCTGGTGGTTAAGTGTTTTGAAAATTTGATTTTGTATTTTTCAGTGACTGTGACCAAATATGTCTAAATAATGTCAAAATTGTATACTGGGTCGAAGACTTAGGGCCATATGGGCAGGCATTCCTACAATTGTAGAACACCTTTATGGCCTGCTTAATTTTCATAGTTTTTTACTGTTCTGTGTCAACGCACTATTTCGAGATTGTCACAAATATGCATCAAATTGTTCATGCTTTCGATTTATATCATCTGCTATAACAGGCTGAAATTTCCTACAATTCAAATAGAAAACATAGCCTCATGATTGGAGAGCACTGACTGACACGGAACAGTAGAAATTTAGAAATACCCCAGCCTTCCTGAAGGAGATAAAAGACTATGAGAACCAAGGAAGCCATAAATGCGTCCTACAATGTAGGAATGACTGACAATATGCCTTTAGGAACAAGTAAATAATTATTCCTACACTTGAGGCATCTTTGTAAGGATGCCTCATTTTCCCTGTCAAACTAATCAATATCCAAAATAAAATTCTGTTCATAACCATATCCAATATAAGAGTTTTAAAGAGTACCAGAGTACAAACAAACTAAAGCCACTTAAACTTATTTCTATTACACATTTCCAATTTTACATTTACTTACATAAAATAATAAGTGTTGTGTGAATTGTTTATAATTGTCAAAAAACTTCCCAAGTATAGTTTGATTTGGACATTTTTTGATCAAGTGAATGCCAATTCCGCATAATTTAAACAGTGCAGTGAAAACTTTTTGTGATCCTGTTAACAAAGGATTAGTTAAAGTATATTTTCAATCTGTAATTAATCTTATTAAATATTTAGAATGATATTCTAATACACAACACTTAAAAATAAGTACTTGTTGTCTTTTTCACAAGTATCCATTATGCTAGAAGAACAACTGATTATCTAGTAATATTTAAAAATTCCCCATATTGACAAATGATACATAGTTCTGACTGATCGGTCAATGGCAGGTACACACAGCCATATTTTGTTTTGGTTTTTTTGTACACTACATATTTATTTTGCTCTTGATAACAAACCTTTTATTTAAAACTATCAATTTGCAGACAAAAAAAGCTACAAGCTACAAGCAAGTTTTACTAGATTTACACCTGATTCATTATTGCCAACCTCACAGACTAATACAAAGATGTTCCTTGCTGATCAGCTGTTCACCTCAGTAGACATCAAAATGTGATGGATACTTGTGACATAGGCTTTATAATAATTACTACAACCTAAAAAGCCAAGGCAATCTATTTGTAGTTTACATTCACATTTTATTCAAAGTTCAATATCCATGTATGGAACTATCCAAAACTAACAAAAAACTTTATATCTGTGACCATAACTGAAAAAGATGTATTATATATCTGTATCCTTATCCAGATTCAAAATTTTATATCCAAAACATCCTTCCAGTCTTGACATATGAAAGAGACAGCAGCTTTGTCAGATCTTTTTAAAGGAAAGGACATAGCCTTGTTTAAAGTGAAGCCATGATAATTAAGTTAAAGGCTTCTTTATTTTGTTACCTTCATCAAGAAAAACATGGACATTTTGATACTTATGTCTACAGAAAGCATGTTTAACAATATTTCACTATTATTTTAATAATAAAAATATTATTTCAAAATAACAGTGCATCATTACAGCATAATATACACTCCTCTGTGAAATATACAGCACACAATGCCAATTAGACAACAAAAAGCTAAAATAAAGACCATGCACACAATATGGACAAATTTTTATCTTTCAAGATATGCCTGAAGCCCATATAGTTGTAGCAGTTGGTAAATGTTTTTTTTAATCTTTGAAAACATGTTAATATGGCAAATTTGTAGGTGAAAGAAAGTCTGTGCTTCCAAAGCAAGATTTTTTACCAGACCTTTCAAAAAAATGCCTACCTGATAAGTGTTATCGAAGCTGTCATACATAAATCTTGTTATAAGGGATGTTTTCCCCACTAAAACAAAGAAAATATTACATTTAAATTATTTAATATAACCTATAACCTGATTTAGCAGATATACAGAAAGCTGACGTGGATAGAAAGATTTATTGGGACGTGAGGGATTTCGTGTCTATAAATGTGTGTACAAATAGTCCTCATAATAAATTTATTGTAAAAAAATAGAAGCAAACTGCATTATTGATCATTTAGGCTACGCCTGCTACGAAAGTTTACAACTCATCAAGAGATGTCAATCAAAACTTACCACTTTGTTCTCCTAGGAAAACTAATTTGAATTTCTTTAAGGGATTTCCGAAGTCGCCCGACGATGACATTTTTATCTAAAACTAGTATTTTCTATTTTTCACCCTGCTAGTTTAGAATTCACAGAAAAGTATCACATGAAAACATATAAACCCTCACCACCAAAAATGACAACTAAGCAAACTTGACAAGATGACAAGTCTGTGTCAGACAAATCCTCAAATCTGAAAATCTTGCAGCCAATCAGAGACGCCAGATTTTACATGCTGCGTCACCTGGTGGCGTCTAGTTGACTGATACAGTGTACACAGGCGTCGCTAAAAATATTGAAAGGGTGATCTTGAAAATCCTTACTCCCTCGAATGGGATAATGCTGTTTAGGCTAGATTAAGGTTGATTCTCACTATACATTCCGTAACCGTTCCGTAACTTATTGAAATTGAATATTCGCCTTCGTGTAAGGCAGGCTATTGCGTGTGTATGGACATAAATGGAATCTCTTAATTATTTTTTTAAAATTCTGTTAATATGTGTCATCATCCATTAACTTGTATTAATAATGTAACATATTCTACATCAACTCCGCGTTGCTTCAACATATTGTGAATCCCGAAACGCCTTTTTAGTTTTATTTTCAAACGTCCTTCCTTTTCCAAAATAACAGCGGCAATAATTAAATTTTCCTCAGACCACATATTTCACAACGTTTTGAATTACGTATAACTTATTGCATATACGAAAATACTGAATATGGAAATGCACCGTAAGGTTATACTGTATATAAAATCAAATTGTATGGAACTTTTACGAAACTGATGTGGAATGGAAACGGAATGTATAGTGAGAATCAACCTTTAGGCAGCACTTCTCATCCAGTGTTGCCGAACAAAAAGATCGGTAGTCAGTGTCGTTGAAATTCTGTAGATTCAAGGACAAAAGCGGTAGGAGAAACAATCAGGAATGTCGCCAGATCAGCGATAGATCAAGGGCCTTTGCATTCCGCAGCGCCGCCTATGAATAGGATGTATTTTTTTATTCCACGCGTGCCTACACATAACAGTTTTTGAGGGCATCTTTTCTAAAAAATAACTAACTTCTGTTTTACCCTTGATTTAAAGCCTTATCACGTAATTTTAATTTAATATTTCAGTATTTGATTAAAAACAGACGAGCTTTGGTTTCCTTATTGCTTGTCCGGTGGAGGCGCTGATCTACCAGTACGACTCTCCAATACAGGAAAAGTGGAGTAAGGGATATGCGTACAAATACACAATTGGCGTGAAAACGGGTATAAGTGCAAAATGTACGTTTCGAGATAAATGCGATTTTAGTTGACTTGAACCGCATTTTTCATATTATTTGTTTCAAAATGATTCGTACTGATAACAAGTCCTAGAGATATGAACTTAGTTTGAATTCACAATACAAATACCATTTGGTACCTGTTTTAAGAAAAAAAGACAACTTATATCCTTTTGCACTTTTACTTTATAGAAAATAAACAACTAATATCCTTTTACATAGTTGTGGTGGACTTATCCCCTTCAACAGAACAAAAATTAAAGTATCTCCATTATACACAAAATGAAAGTTATTCATCGTCACTGTCCTCACTGTCGATGATTGGGTCGGTTGCTACTTGGTACGAAGGTCCTTATAGAACGAATGAAATGTCTTGTTTATGTAGGGAATTAGCTCTAGCAGGTTCTTTTTCTTCTCTTCTGTTATAGGTACTGGCCCTTTGTAAGATAGAGGAGTCCTGATTCCATTAGGAATCCTTTTCTTGCTCAAGTATTTATGTTTTTTAAAAGGTTGGTTTTGGTCTAAGTTACTTTTGTATTCTACAACATCTATTTCTTGAGAGTGTCTTAACCACTTTATATGTTTCTATGTAACCTTCTGCTCATTGGCATCTTTCTTTGGCTGTTAGAAATATTGTGTTAATAACGCTGCGAACTCAAGGAAGTCCAGCTGTGTCATCTCTGTAACTTGAAATGGCTGTGAGTTACCAAATGCTCTTACTAACTGAACCTAATCTCTGGGATGTTCTATTGGTATGGCGTATTTTTTCTTCTTCTCAATCATAGAATGGTCCGAATCACACTTAATTTGTGTGTGACCCTGGACCAGAAATTTGTGATTAATATATTTTAAGGATGGGTTCAGTTTCATAAGAAGATTACTAGAACATGCGTGTTCTTGTTTTAACCTGAACAAGTGTCAGAATATAAGGTGATTTCTGATATTCCTTCTAAATTAATTGATAAAAAATGCTTGTAGAGGCATGAAGCGATTTGATTTGCCGCTCCGCCTCCCATAGCCTCGAGCCACATAAAGCAATAACACGGCTTGTTTTTTAGATTGCTCATTGTAAAATTGAACGTCTATAGCAAACGTATACACCAGGCGAGAGCTATCTTCTAAAGCAAATTTCTTGTCTTGTCTTTTAGCTTCATACGCCTTATCTGCTTCTGCCTGATGACTTTGCAATTTAATTTTCAGTGCCTCGGCGGCTTCACCTTGCGTGTTATTGATAAGCCTGTCACATGTGTCACATGTATCCTTATTGGGTTTTTTTATTTTGATTCCGAAGTTTCGAAAACACGTTTCGTATATTTTCTGAGAAACAAGTTTTCTCGCAGGCGGTAGCCAAGCTTTATATCCATCATATCCTTGAGACTATAGTGGCTAGGTAGATATTTTCTGCTTGAGTCCTTTGGAGTATAGTGACTCTCGTAAAATGGAATCAATAAGATATGATTTCGAACCAATTCCATATCAGCATCTGATGTTTTATTTGCGGGAGCTGATTTTCCACGTCTGTTAGTGCTAAATAAACCTGAGGTTGACACACGTTTATTTTTTAACACGTGTATAATAAATCTGTTTGTTAAATCAAATGTTAGCATGAAACAGCGTTTACATGTGTTCATTTTAACTCCATCTATTAAAAGAGAAAAATGATGATTTATTGTTGTGTTCTTGTGTTTTTTACCCTCAGCTTTCTTTTTTGTAGTTTGTTTATCGGTATTGGATATCAAACCAATAATATAAGATACGCGTTTTTCGTAGTCGCCGATGCTCCAGAATTCATTGAAAGCATCCCTTCTTTTGTTATTACCCAAGCGGTCTTTGCATTTCATTCAACAGGTAGGTAATTCGCTGAAACATTTTGCTCTTACTGTTACACCCTTCTTGGTAACATATTCCTGTCCCAAATTTCGCAATTTTTTTCTAGTGCTTCGTATTTGTCTTGTTTCACCCTTTACTGACCCTTTCCCCCTCTTCCTAGTTTCTTTGTTACCGTTTTCGTTGTTCTCCATTGTTTGGTCTTCTCCGGTGATCTGAACTCTTACCTTCTTGTTGCGTGCGTGGAACTCCAAATTGCTGTCTTCTCCGCTGCTACTTGGTACATAGTCTTTATCCTTATCAGAGTCATCGATTGGTTCATCCATATTTAGCACACTTTCCTAGCCGGTGATTGAAGAATTTTCGTTTGTTTGTAACTGATGTTTGTTTTAGGTATATTTACTATTAAGCCATTTGAGGACTGCATGAATTCATCATCAGTCAACTGTCGTTGATTTAGCAATGACGGAGCACTATGCTGAATATCATCTAAGCATTCAGCTGTAATTTTATATCCGCAAAATTTTCATAGTAATAATTAACAATTATTGTAGATTCTCGTTTATCTGGTTGTAGCTGGTGCTTGCTGTAAGTATGTTTTCAACAAAAGCATCTGAGGGCTTCGCCGGCGGCTGTTTGGATTTGATTTCAGTTAAATGCTGTTGATTTGATGATGACTTAAGGCTAGTGTTAATCGGGGGTATATTTTCAATACAATCTTCCCAATCCTAGTGTTAAGGTCACTTAACTGCTGATGCTCTACGGATGACGGAAAACAGCTGTGGTCCACTGCATCTGTAAAAATGTTAAATATTTTTGATAAAAAGTGTAAAATAGCAAATAGCGTGTGTCAACGGATTTATTAGATAAGATCAATCTTGCCAAATAGTCTTGTTCCTATAATATTAGTCAATAAAAATGTTTGATTGAAATTTCCTGACATCACGTGACGTCCTTGAATTAGTTTACGACCAGTTATGGTCACCTAGACGCAATATTAACTGCTGTTCACTTAAAAACAAAATGGGCGTAAAAACGAATCCATTCTGATCCAGATTTGCCTAAAAACCCAAAAATGGTAAAACATACAGGGCGTTCCATTAAAAATTAATAACCGAACCCCATTTCTGGTTAAACCAGAAGTGAGCGGAGAGCGAAAAAGAGACAAAATCCTATTTATCTATACAAAATCTCATTTTGATACACCTCATATTCTAGAAGTTATGGGTTGATTAATAAGTTCGTTTACACCCTGTACTGTTGACAGTTTCATTAAATAAAGTATGCTTTAAAAATACAGCGTGACTTTTATAAATAAAATATAAATAATTTTACTAGTAAACAGCTGTTTACATACCTAATGTATGTAGATATTTACTTTGCTCGTTTGTTCTGGGGGCATCAGAGTTTAGTTCCTCAACTTTTTTCATTATTTTTCGTGTTCTATTTGAAATCATACTGCTCACACAAACAACACGGAAAAATAAGTATTATTTCTTCTCAAATAGTTTATAAAAGCGTATGCTCTGTGGATCGACTAAAGCTTGTATGTATTAGTCTGGTATAGGTACACGTATCGCGGAAGGAGCGAAATGTGAAAAAGTCAACCTAAAAAAGTTTTCACTACAAAAGCACCCACAATTATACAAACAAATTGTGCGACTAAAGGTTTAAGTAGATTTATACCTTATTACACAGAATAAATGCTTAATGTATTCAGAAAATTGAGATGTATATGTACATATATCTGTTTTCCCAATAATATGCCTAAAAATGGTAGTTATATAAAAAACACAATAAAATTAGCATCAATTTTATGCCTTCTAGACATACCGTTTTCCACCAAGCAAGATAAAAGTATATAAAATTTGCCAATAGACAACTCATTTTTCACAATTTTGGACTTTATAGACAACCCATTTGTATTTTTACTTTTTTTCCGTAAAAAATCTGGAAACATCTGAATTATTCTAAAAACTGGAAAATGAGGACGTTTTCGGTATTTCTGTAAATGTCTCATTTAGGTAGAAATACAGAGAAATCGGTAGGTTCGGAAATACTGTTCTCGTCTATCATTAAAACGAAATCGCGAACAAAATAACTACATTCGTAGGTAAAATTCCCCCCCGCCCCGTACATTTCTTTGCAAATTTTTTGTGAATGAGGTTTTTAAAATACCTTTCTAACGCCGCCTCTGAGCACCCGCTGTAGCTTCCTAGTATCTTGCTTAGTGTATAGTTCCACTCTTAGATGGCGCCACTGAAATATTAAGACCTAGGGTCGGCAACTGTCAGTGCAGTTCTGTCAGTGCTAACTCGTTTGAATTTGAAAGCATTTTTTTTCGGTTGCTCTTAGTTTTTTGTAATGGTGGAGCAGTTACTCAATTGAATACGGTTACTTAAGGGGAGTTTACACTAGCATGTAGCGCTTGCCTCAAGAAGGGACCGAAAATGAGTGCAAAAATGAAACTTCTGAAATATTGTACTATATAATAGGTTTTTATTGAATGTTTGTTTTCAGAGACTGTGCGTTGTTGCCAGATTTCATTACTTCATAGGTTTTCGTGATGATGGATATTCTTAATAATTAAATTTGTATATATGACTTCGAACACCAAACAACCTTACATAACGTCTAATGCACTTGCGTGACTCAGCGGGGAATAAATTCTAGATTAAAAGAAGAGCTGATACGCGTAGAAATGCGTATTTTCGTTAATTTTCTTTTATTTCTTCAATGTGGCGACAGCGCGTTATGTATAGGATCCGTTCCATTCTGCAAATGTCGTGATTAAGCAGGTCTTTATACCATTTTTAATCCCATTTCTATCATTTACAACCCAAACCTAGTACCCATTCGGAGGGAGAAACAAAAAATTCTGGTGTAGTTAAGCTAGAGAATTACCGAAGAAATTTTGAAATAGTGCATTTTGGTACTCAATAAAAATACTGTAGGGTAACAAAGGAATCTCCTGCAGCCAAATACCTTAACGTAATTTCTAACTTAATTTTTGCTGGTATGGCTACTCTCATTTTTGTATCTTTTTTCTGTATGCACTCTTTCACATGATCTAACAATTCGGCAAATTTACTTTTTGAAATACGGAGGACGTTCATATAGATATCTTTTGTCTTCTCTCGCCAATTCATCTTGATCCTCCTAATTGCAAACTTCTTGATACCCGACTTCTTTCCCTACATTAACCTTCGTTTTCTCCTCTTCATTTTTGCTGGTTTGCTTCTTCAAAAAGCTCATTGCATGTAATACTGCAACCCTCACTACAGCCCGAACGTCTCCTACATAATCTGTCATTCCGCACCAGTTGAAGAAACGCACTGACTGGACTTTAAGCAAGCTTCCTTTGCAAAGGAGATGTGTAGTGTAAACTATAACTTGAATGCAAGTACAGCTTGCATCAACTTGCATGTCCTACTCACGCAAGCGGAACATGCTAGTGTAAACTCCCCTTAATGGGTGTTCGCGCATGCTTTACCTTCGAGACTTGTAAGAGCCAAATATTGTCGGAGAATTGCACACCTTTTTCAAAAGCATTATCAGTTTGTCATGGACATAGTGTGAGGATGTGCAACCAATTACTGCATCTGATGGAATGTGGGTAAGTTGAATGATAACACAAAGTTTATACATAGATGTTCCTGTATTGGATATAACAAAACGTATATATTACAAAAAATAACATACAAAAACTGTTTAAGTAATTATTGCACATAATATGTACGCCACATATTCATTAAAGCGACCATAACTCGCGAGATTTGTACTGAACAGCATGTGATAATAATAAGTAATCCTAACATTTGGAAGTAAAAGTAACAAATTAAACAAAATATCACATTCCTACATTTTCAGCACCCTTTTTTGATAATGTGATAAGTTTAGCGTCACATTTGAGATGTCAAAAGGTTCAATTGCGGAATGATCTATGCCAAAAATCTAGATAAAAGAGGACTTGTTTCCAGTTTGTGTTATTACATTATATCGATTTCGTACTTTTTACGCTGGCCCAAAACTGATCAAAACATATGTTCAGCCCAGAAATTAAAAATAGCGCAACTTTGCCTTTTTGAAAAATTACATTCCGCAACAGTCAATACAAAGCAATTAAAATATTATCTGATGGAATGTGAACCTGTACTGTCGCTTTCTACATTAAAATTACGTTTTTTGATGTTGATAGCCCAGTTATAATATTCCAGAACTACGAACGTACGTACAGCCAATGGCAAAATTTTTAAACACACGATTACTAAAATTTGTAATCATCAAAATTATTTGTTTTGACTTGAGAAAAACGAATGATCTGCGAAATACCATTATCAGAATAAAATCATGGTTTTTAATTTGCCCCATGAATCATGAATGTTGACGATAATCACCTCTCGTGACTTTTTTGTTGATAAAAAATACTGCATAGCATGAAATGGGGTATCTGCCTGTTCATGAAACAACAATGAAGAACATACCTACCTACCTCCTATGTAGGTAAAAGCTTCATATGAATGTGTAGTTGGGAAAAATATTGATATGTCATTAATCTAAGTAGCTACAATTCTAAATATTTTTGAAACATTGGCTATACATCCAGGCTAAAAAATGACGTTATTTACATAGGAAGTGTAATAACCTAAAAGATCAGCGTAATGATATTAATACAAAATTAATTTTTAATATATCGGAGTATGTAACCATTTCACTACATTTAATGATAAATATTTGACATATGTATGTTTCACTCCAATACATTAAATGCGCGATATTCACAAGAACATTTTGGATAATGACATTATCAATTAAATAATACGAAATAACATGATGTCTTTATGTACATTTTTATCACTTATCATAGTCATTATATATACTTATGCTACATATTTGCATTACATTATTATAAAACCAAAGTCCTAGTTACCTACACGCATGTTATTTTGCATTATTTTCTTTGGTTTAAAAATAGTTTAACTAATGCCATTCTGAGAACCTAATATCCCATCTGTACCTAAAATTACGAATTTTATGAGAGTTTTTATAGATACAATACTAAAATAATATGAAAGCATAGAAGGTTCTTATCAGTTTCACAAAGAACGCGCACAAGAAAGCGATAATTTCCGATATGGCGTCAGCATGTCATATACACAAAGTCACTCATTTTTGACAAACCACAGTTTCGACATTTTGGAAATTAGTACTAAATCCTATTTCACGAGTATCATCATGTTTTGACGTCTACTGAGGTGAACAACATGATCAGCAAGTGACATCTTTGTATTAGTCTATATTGTTGGTAATAATGAAACGGGTGTAAATCTAGTAAACCTTGCTTGTAGGGTTATTTTGTATGCAAATGAACTTTTCTAAGTAAAATAGTTGTTAGCAAATACAAAATGAATCTGCAGCGTGCAAAAACGGACGGATCCGTCAGAATTATGTGTCATTTGTCGATATGGGGAATTTTGAAATATTACTAGATAATCAGATGTTATTCTACCATTATGGATTCTCGTGAAACGGCCAATAAGGATCATGAAGACAGTCGTTCTTACAACTGTAGGACGCCTTTATGGCCTCCTTGATTTTCATAGTCTTTTCTCTCCTTCAGAAAGGCTGTGGTATTTTTAGATTTCTAATGTTCCGTGTCAGCGTCAGCGTTCTCCTATTGTGAGGCTATATTTTCTTTTTGAGGGAAATTTCAGGCTGATATAACAGCTGGTATAAATCAAAAATATGAAAAATTTGATGCAAATAGTTATATGTAATATAAAACAGAGCGCTGACACGGAACAGTAAAAAACTATGAAAATCAAGGAGGGCATATAGGCGTCCTACAATTGTAGGAAAGACTGACGGTATGGCCCTAAATGGCTTAACGCATACATAGTCTCTTTATTTACCTTGCATTGTCTTTTGGCACATATCGAAAAAGGCCGTCTTTTATGACCTGTAGCCCTCTTAGTATCTTTGGTTATCGATTATAGGTACATTCGACGTTTATTGATGCGAAATGTGTTTTTATGGGCATAAGGGCCAAAACGATTAAGCTTAAGCGTTCCTCGAGGAAAGTGAAACAAGGAAGCCGTGAAGTTAACGAACTTTGTGGACATTTGGACAAAATTTGTCGCTAGGTGCGCTAAGGAAGGAAGACAATGTTTAGATGGGATAATACTTTAGAGAAAAAAAAGCTTAGAGATCAGTTGGAATGTCAATAATGGAATGAGTATTATAGGAATGCTTGGAAGAAAGATTCGTTGGACAATCTAGAAGATAGTTATTTCATAACCTATAAACTAATCAGCTTTATACTCGTTTTATATCAAGAATTTATTCAGATGGATTTATTCAACGACATCATATATGTTTTGCGATGTTTACATCAATGAACTGCCAGTACTCAGTGCTGCCAACACGAGAAATTTTTGCTTGCAACATTTTGAGATATTACGTCTATTGTGGTTTTTATTTTGAAGCGAATCTCAAACAAAAACCATCTTGTTGAATACTGCAGTTTTATACTTGAATTGAAATTTGTTCAATATAATGGAAAGGAAAACAAGGTTGGCAGCAACTTGGCAAATATTAGAACAAGTTCTAATTCCGTGAAGAAATCCATGGAGAACTTGCATGGATTTATTTGGCCTCAAATTGTTGAAATTTTGCCATAAAATCGATTCATGAAGAAATCCGTGGATTTATTATCAATGCAAAACGGGTATTAGAACCATCATTGCCGTCATACCGTATAATACGACAAACATAAGAAGGTAGTTCACTTGAATAATACATCATCAAAACTGAGTCTTAACAACTCTGGAATAAATAGTATTAAAGCTATAGTTCTCATCTGTTTGATATACTTGAAAATACTAGTCGCACTAGCAATAAGTTCTTTGATTTGGCACATTTTATGTGTATATTATTCCAAAGTTGAACCAGGTATTTCTTTTGATCCAATTTAAAATATGTTTCGTTTATGACATTCTTATTGGGGAATAATTTACTCAGTCAGCTAAAAAACTGAACGTTCAAAATCATAAAGGTATTTGCCCACAATAGAACAAACTAGGGTCGTATCGCTATGTCGTTTTTATGTTCAGTTAAAAGATTGATAAAATTGCTAATACATTTTGGACGAAAAGCAACAAAAAGAACGTTTCTCCTCCAAAGACGGATGGTTTCGTGGTCCATCTATGGGATGCGTATAGATCTCACTATTAAAATAACCCTACACGTTCATGGTACACTCTCAGTATAAAAGAGTGTGGTGTACAAATAAATTGACTCCGACGCCTTTAAGCTCTTTGAAGATAACATCGTATGTTTAGTGTTATTGTAACAACAAAAGAAGTGCCTAGTTCACATAAGACCAGCTGATATATCTACTGGTTGATAGAACACAATTCAATAAATACTAATCAACTATGATGGAGAATACCAATTTGAAGAAGCACCTGGTGCAGTCTTTCCAGGATGGTATAGGTGGAAGCCCGCTCCAGTGGCACCGTGGTGATAGAATTGCGGCTGATCCACGTAAGAATATACTTGTGGTTTCAGCGGCAAAGGACTATCAGGATACTGGTGCCTTAGAACGTCTTGATACGGTACTGCTGAATCAAACGTAACACCTGCAACACAAAGGGTACAAGGGTTATTGTACGCATAGGCATACTGTGCTTTTCAAAAAGCATCCCCTCTAGTTATTTCCCAGTGAACATGGTGACGCCGAAATGGTCACTTTTGGTCGGAAACGTCATTGACTAAAAAATGACGTCTCTATTGACGTCTCTATTGACGTCATTTTTATGACAATGAGCAGGGTACAGGTAGGGCACATGTTGCCGCACTTACCTCCATGTAACTGCTGATGTTTATCTCTAGGAGATACACTGGACGGTGGTGTAATAGCAGTATGGTAATCCATCGAGTATCCTGCAGGATAATTTTGGTGTTGAGATAGCAGGAATTGGTGTTCACTGTACGACGAAGAGCCTTCACTTCCTGGCGGTGTTGGTAGAGGTCCAATTCCTACTTGGTTGTCGCTGCGGTAGTAACTACCCGTACATCCAGACCTAAAGATTATACACTCAGTTCAAACAAGGAATTTCTGATCATTAGGGACTGTTAAATGTAGTTTCCCAAAAAAAAACAACGATTATATATTTCCTATAAGTCCGGTACCGGTAAGACAGTAAGGGCATTCAACGTGGAACGGACAACGAAAAAAGGTTTGAAATCCGTTCATATTGAAAACATTCCAAGGCAAGTTTTCCACCTCTATGATCTTAGTTTTTTATCAGTACCCACCTATCGCTCGTAGGGGAGTGTCGTCCTGCTTCGAAATGGCTTCCACCTGCAGTGATAATTTGTATTGCCTAACGTTATTTGTTTCATTTTCCGACCGAATTGACCACTGGAAACGTTGATTTTTAAGCTATTTTTCTCCATAGTCGCAATTTTTTTCTACGTATTTTTTTAGACGTGAGCACCTTTTACCTTCACCTTACGACGATTTTGGATTGCCCGTCTCAGCCTTTTCCGAAGCCTCGGGAATTTCAGTCATCTGTTCCCGAATCTTCGAGCAAGTTTTGGTCAATCTTCGCCACAACTTCCTCGGAGATCGACGATCTTCTGCCATTTGAGGACATGCTGAATGCTTATACACGTTTCCCCATATACTTCATTTAAGTGGGGATGAAATTCTTTGGGTGGTAACGTTTTTGCGTACAAAAATCGGACGACCGCCCGAATTTCGATGGCGGTGACGGCGATGAAGTGCTCCATTGCGCATTGCTGTCGGGCCAGTACTAGAAGGGTTTATCTCTGGCGAGTACTGAGCAGTGAGCATCACAAATAGGCGCTTTTTGTTCGGATCGGTGGTGGGAACCTTATTTTTGAGACAACCCTCGTGAGTAAATAAATAGATATTATAGCACCACTCCTTTCTGCGTCGATTGATTCCTACCAGCTTCTTGACCGAAGTTTCTCTTACCTGCTGGTTGCACTGGTGATGCCGTGGACGTTAGCCCTTATCACACTCTCCCTATTAGCATACAGCTGTCTCAGCAACGCTGAAGCTGGAAGCGGCCCTTGCTGTTGCAGCTGCTGATGGGCCCCTATCCACTGAATAGTGGTCCTTTGCTGTTGTTTCAGCAAAGCGTCTGTACTGAAGTCAGTCGGTTGGTGTATAGGCGACTTGCAAGCGGGCAGATGTTTGGACATGGCGTTCTCCAGGTCTTTGACCGAAGTGCCACTACTTGCAGGTTCGTCCAGCTTCTTGGGACTAGCTGTGGTCGAATCGGTGGTAGCTGTTACTGGCAGGACGCTGCTAACTGAGTGGCAGGATGATGCTGGGCTCATTACTGTGTTTTCGTCCTCGTTCTCGTCGGAAGATGTGTTTTTTCTCTTAGCAGCTCTAGAAAAATGTCAATGTAAAACTGGGTTTCAACTTACTGATCTATCATGAAGACTCTAGTCCGTCCAACCAACCGTGTAAGACGCTGTCTTATCCTTATTAGGATGCGGGTCGACGTGCACTCCCAGGAATTTTGCAGATGGACATATTTACATCGCTTAGGTTTTGTAGTGAGAACACCATCTGTTGGGTTTTGCTCTGATTTAGCAGAAGTCCACCATCGAACCATGCCTTAATATCCGACTGTACGGCTTCCATTCATCCAGAAAGCCTGCAGTAAGGGAGAGAGCTGGTGTCGCCACAGGGTGAAAGCAGCAGCTATGCTAAGATCCAATACTGCGCCCTGCTGAAACTCCGATGGACTCCCTTTCCTGAGACACCACTTCTCTCACCCTGACTACCTGGGTTCTATTTGGCAAATATGATACAAAGAGGGAAACAGCACTATTTGTAAAATCATGGTATTTAAGTTTGTGGATTAAGATGTTGTGGTCCACATAATCAAAAGCTTTACTGAGATCACAAAAAAACTGTGTTCTTATTTTATTAACTATTAGACATATAGATATGATGTAAGTGGATAACATAAGGTGCCATCGGATTACAGAATCGGATATGTTAGGAGCCTTGTCTATATGTTTACAAGGTGGTGTTTGTCGTCAAATTACGTAGATTCAGCGCATACCATTGGTAGATGGGCCTACCAAAGTGACAAACCGATACCTCGGCGTACATTCTCTCCTTTAGAAAGGATATTCCAGGATGACGCAGCTTCATACACGTTTGGTTGGATGGATGGAAAGCAGTTTTTACTTTTACTGATTGGATTATTGAACAATTTTTGTTTATGATCCTATTACTTACCTGCATATGGGCATAGGTTTTCTCTGATCAGTACCAGGTGTGGTGCTCGGTTGTAGCTGGGCAACCGGGAATTGATCCATTCTTCGTGTCCGAAGATCTCCTGGCTCTTTGCTGGAGTCAGTTTGCGTGTTGGTATTTGTCCCCGTACCATTACCAGTACCTGTTCCCGCACCTGCGCACGTAGCATCTTCTAGATCTTGGCTAGGCTCTGGCCCTTGGTTTGTTGGCCCTCCGCTGTTTCGATCATCTTGATAAAAAAAACATAATTTTCAGTCAGAATTACGGAAGGTCCCTTAATTCTTTGTTATATACGATCGTGGGCAATTTTTTTCTTAGAAGGATTAACTTGTGCAAAACGAACTGGTGACAAATGCGGATTTCTTAAGCCGTATGTACTTACTTTATGTGTACTGAAATCACTGCAAAAGATACTCACCTCCTCGATCAGCATCTGGAGATCCGTTTTCAGGATCGTTGCTATTTGCTTCTTCTCTTTTCACGATATGATTATTTTCTTCCATTTGGCACGTATCCATAACTAAATTTTCATATTCACGACCACTGAAAATGAAGGTTATCCCATTTAAATCATACTGGATATTATCGCGAATACTCAAGGTTCAAGGATAACAGGGACTTATTACAACACTAGCTTGGCTCTGCCTGCCTGTGGACAAAACTCAACCTGTGAAACACACACCGCTGGACGGGCAGCAACGAGCCAGTGCGGCTACAGCCAGTGTTGCCTAACCTACCCATTTTTCGGTATTTCTAACATCCGATTTCTTAAAAGACTCCAGATATTTATACTTAATACAATTTTGAGCGGATATTTTCTGCTAACAACTAAATACAAACAAAACAAAGAAACAGAAGCAATAAGTAGCCTGTTACAATTTCAATATTAATGTCCGCATGATTTCTAGTATTTCCAAATAACATTGGTAATAACCCCAAAGGTTAACGAAATGTTTTGTTTCTTGGATAGAAGAATTTGACGCAAAATGCAGCCGCGCTCCAACTTTCACGAAAATTATTTTTTAGTTTTAGTCCACTTCTATTTTTCAGAATTAGCTTTTAGCTGGAAAGAGGTTAGTTGGTTCTTTTAATCGATTTTATCCTGGTGGTAAAATTAAAAATATTGCAACGGATTTTGAACCACATATTTATATTATAGTTATAATTTTTCTTTGTGCCTGTTATACATGTCAGTCGTCGTTGTATTTTCGTAAAACATATACAAATTGAAATATCGTTGTTTTTAAGTTTAATTTACTTTTATATGGATAAAAAACTATGTATGTCTGTATACTAACATGTCATTTTTCCAATTTGTTTATATGTAAGGAAACCTGTGTACCTTTGTATATGTGCGCACGTGATACAGATATATACCTACTTTCATAGTGACCCTAAGACCCTGTGATCTTGTGGCGACCTTGATTTTTCTACCTACCGACTTTGACCTTGAATCTACCGAATTGCAATGACACAATCTACCGATTTCGTATCGTTCGGTTGGACAACACTGTCCACGGCGCTCTGTGATGCTCGAGATTCACATAAAAGCTATGAAGTTTGAGATCTTACCTTACTACATAATTTACACAGATTATATTTTGTTCTTCGGCATTTTTTGAATTACACACTACAGTCGCACACGTTTGTATCCACGTGTATCCTCCGCTTTTATTCATTATCCTATAGTAGTGCGTTAATACTTGTCCCTTATTTATAACTGAAACAAAAAAATATGCTCTTTAGAAAACCGTCGTCCTGAGGTTCTATAGTTTGTATTGCAAATTGATCAGGCAACATCACAGACCTTGTATGTCTTTCCGATCTGAAATCGATCCTAAACAGATTTGACACAATTCGCAATTAAAAAATGTGTGGGCCTAAACAATAAGTTGATCAAATAATGATGGAGACATTTCATGAAAGATATGGCGTGTTTAGATAGCCGTACAAATTTGTAACTTTTTTATTTTCAGATATGAAAAGGTCTCGGTCCATATTACGAGGGTTGTTTCAAAAATAAGGTTCCCGCATTTTTTTCAGGTACAAGGATTTTTATATTTGAAAAAACGAATTCACCATTGGAAACGTCGATCTTTAAGCTATTTTTCTCCGTAGTCGCCATTTTTTCTACGCATTTTTTTAAACGTGATTTGAGGAGATGTTGAATGCTTATACGAGCCCCTTCCCACTTTAGTTGGCCCAACTATTGAAATCTTATTTTTTTTCCCTATCAAACATAAATAATAAAAATGTAGCAGGGTGTTATAGGTTTAAAATATTAACAATGAATATTTTGATAATATATAGTAGAAAACACCAACTTTATCACTCCCTAATCAAATTTGCAGCATAAAAACAACACATGTTGCAATTACAGAAATCAACCTATTTTCATTTCAATGCAAAATACGCATAGGTGGCTGTGAAAAATAAAAGCCATGACAATTGTTTTTATTAATCACAGCTGTCAAAATAACTTTGGGTAGTTAAGGTTTTCAAAATGGGTAGAGGAAAGGTTATTAGTGAGAAAATTCGGTTACTGATAATTAAATTTTTTAATTCTGGGAAATCAAACTCGGAAATTGCAACTTTGTTAGACTTATCGCGGCACAGTGTGAAAAATATTGTTAGAAGATATAACGTAACTGGTTCAGTTAGTATTAAGCCACGATATGTGAAAAAAAGTAATATCACAAATGCCAACCGAAGAGCATTAAGAAGAATAATCGTGAAAAACAGGCGTGCCAATTATTTACAATTAAGTGCTCTGTGGAGTGACGCTGTTGGAAGGAGAATTCCGAGGTCCACAACTCATAGAGAGGCCCACAAACTGGGATTTAGCACTTGCAAGGTAAGTTTTCTTATAAAAAAAGTGAAGTAAAAACCCTAAAGTTGCACAACTTGTTTATAGGCCAAAAAAAAGCCACTATTAACTCCACTGCAAAAGAAAAATCGGCTTAGATGGGCTAAAGAACATAGACAATGGACACCTCAACAATGGTGTGCAATACAATGGAGTGATGAGGCCCGATTCGAAGTTAGTGTTGGTGAAAGTCGCAGTAGAGTTATTCGCAAAAAAATGAAGCATTCCATGTTGACTGTCTGAAGAGAAAAGTGAAATTTCCAGCATCCATTATGGTCTGGGGCAGTATGTCATCAAAAGGAGTAGGAAAACTTCATTTTATTGATGGAAATGTGGATACAAACAAATATTTGGCAATTTTAAAAGAATCACTTTTACCAGTGATGGAAGAATGTTTGACATCCGGGCAAGATTTTGTGTTTCAGCAGGATGGAGCAGCGTGCCTCAAAAAAGGCTATAAAATGGATGGAAGAAAATAATGTACCACCACTTTTGAAATGGGTTTCTAGCAGTCCAGATCTGTCACCTATTGAAACTTTGTGGCACGAGATGAAAAAGGTTCTACGACAACATTTTGCTCGTATAATCACCGAACTGAGACAAAAGCTTCAAGAAATATGGGATTGTTTCACACCAAATTTTTGCCAAAACTTGGTTAACACTATGCCCCAAAGAATTTCAGCCGTAATAAAAAATAAAGGTTATGTTACCTAATGGTAATCTTTCAATTGTTGCTTTGTTAAATTTTTCGCACATTGTTTATTTGTTCAGATGTTCTATTAGTTAGTTATAGCTCTAAGTGATTTCAAATATGTATTTTTTACGACTAGAGTGTATCTAAAATGTTTTTGAGAAAATAAATTGTTTTAGAAGTACATAGTTTCGTCATGTTTAGTTTATAAAGGCATATTTTGGTACAAATTTTGAAGTGGGCCAACTGAAGTGGGAAGGGGCTCGTATACGTTTCTTCACGTACTTCACTCAAGTGGCGATAAATTTCTATGGGTGGTAATGTTTTTGCGTGCAAAAATCGGATGACCGCACGAATTTCGTATCTGGCGGTGACGGCGGTGCATCGCAAATAGGCGCTTCTTGTTGGGATCGGTGGTGGGGGAGCAGACAATCAAGGCGCTGTTGCCAGATTTCGCCTAGCATCACACGCGACAAAGATACAGCGTTGGGAATCTTACTTTTGAAACAACCCTCGTATTCTTTAAAATTGATCCAATAATGTCTGAGACATTTGATTAAGGATGTGATTTGTTTAAACAGCCGCAAAATTTTTTTATTTTAGGATTTGAAAAGGTCTCAGTCCCCTGTATATCATTTGAGCGATGCAAAGTTACTAAGATACTTGAAGATAACTTACGGTCAATGTGTGATTTTCTTAGTTTGCTAGCATCTTCCCCATGGCACAAAGAATAAAGGTTTCTCCCAGTCAGCTCTTCAGGCGTATAATCTAGTAAGTCGAGTACCCTTGGTTCACAGTGAGCTATTTTAAAATCGAAATTTATCCTAGTTACAAACATATCAGATTCTAATCTAATCTCGTGTACACTTGGTGGTGGCAGGGCTATAGCTAGAGCTACCATGCCCAGCAAAGGTGGCTGCGATTTTCGCGAATGCGAAAACGTATACTGCGGTCGTAACCTACTTAACATTAACACAACCTGCAAAAAAGGGCCATTATTATTTTGGGTTCTTGCGATATCTACTCTCAGAATATCTGGGCTACATCTTGGAACCGTATAAATACAGACAAGTGACCCCTGGAGATAGTTGGATTCTGTCTATCTAACAAGGACTAGAACTTTGATTTCGTACAAAAAAATGTTTGTTCTCATGCCTCAATAAGATTTCGTCCAATGTGCTTTCGTGCACGAGTTGTTATGCTATAAAGAATGTCATTGTTGTGAATAAATAAGTTCAAAAATACTTGTTTTTCGAAGCCCTCGTTAGACTAGACTGAAACAAAAATCTTTTTATCTAATAAAAATTCGATCAAACATCTAAACGAAAAGACGTTTCCGTTTAAAAAAATATATCTACGGGATAATAATGAATGGAAATTGACGCACTGCGCAAGACATTCTACTACTACCAAAATACACAACGGCGTAGTAGATATCTACTATTTACACTTGCATAATAGAATATTACAGTGAGACCAGTGCAGTGCATCTTCTTCAGGGGATGGGCCAGATCTAGGGCATTTTTCTCTGTTAAATTGAATGTAGCAAGCATATCTGGGCTATTATTATTTTGGGTTCCTGGGGATAACTACTTCCAGAATATCTCGGCTATGTCTTTGATTCGTATAAATACAAAAAAGTGATTCCTGGGGATAGTTGGATTCTGATATCTAACAAGGAGGGATCGTTATGACTAAAACCCTCGTATGGTACGCACATCTGAAAGACTGTTTTCATATTCTGATATAATATTGTTGCTACAATAATACGGTCTAGAATACTTACCCTATAACCAGAAGATTTAAAATGACATCCTCGTTTTGTTAACGTTGATTTCATTCGAACACAAAATGCTCTATCCAGTCCTTTATAGGGTGGGTTGGCACCTAGCGTCATACTTGTGGACACTGGAACAACATTTTATTTTACTCCATGCTCTTATAGTTTTTTAAGCAATACTATTTTTGCGACGCTCTATTAATTACCCTAACACCCCAAAAACTTGGCAACCATGCATTTTTTCGAAAAATAGATTCTAAGAAATGTTTCAGGGTATCAAAAAACAATTTTTCATTGACCTCAGATATGATCTAGATTCTAGCCAAGGACTTCAGAGATCATTTGGAGGTCAACTGTGTAATTCGAATAGCAACCACCATTTTTGACAGCAGATTCGTGTCGAGCTCGAGATTTTACATCAGATTCTATTCTCTTTTTTATACCAAAGCAGCCGCGCAGGCAGAAGCCTAAATGTCGGAACACCGCGGCTGCTATGATGATCCCAAGGAATTTTTGTTCATTCGATTTTTGAACTGCCTAAGGTTAGTAGAACTGGGAAAAGCTTCCTCTTGTAGATTGTTCCATCAACTCGATACCCTCGGGACAAAGGAGCGATCGTATCGGCCAGTTCTGGATAGACGAAGTTCGACACGGTTAGGATGGGAGGCCAAAGTCAGTCGGGTCTGCCTGGCAGGCACATCGCGCGGCGGCATCATGGGTCTGTGCGAGTTTCTGCTGCCACAGCGGGTTCTGACCGATGCCTAACCTTCACAGCACCGTGGTCTGAGTTGTCCAGGGCGGACAAGACAGCAGTGCTGTAAGGGGCGGTATGCGTGTCAGAAAGAGATCCAGCAGGCTACTGGCATGTGACGAGACGCGGGGAAAAAGTAGGGCCGTCACTAGCTGGGTCAGCCCTGGCGTAAGGGCGAACGCTTCAACTGCACGACCTGCTGCATCGGTCTTGTTTGAGCCCAACCAAAGCTCATTATGGGCATTGAAATCACCGAGGAGAACTAAATCTGGAGCGGGTTGATTGATGTTCAGGAAGGCGATCTTGATCTTGAGGTATTCAAGTAAAACATGAAGTCAAAAAACTACCCGTAAAAAGTGCGATTTATAACCATGAAAACGGAAGCTATTCTTAAAATCTGTAAGTTGGCACTTAGCTAATTAACTCTTAGCGCCCTACGCGTGGGATTCAACGATTTACTTTAGTATGGCAAGAGAATAGTCAGTTTGAAATTAAAAATTTTCATAACCTAAATTCCCGCTTTTCGCCTTATGCGCTTTTTAAAATGACCGATTTAATTTAGGATTGCCTTTTAGCGTTTTCATTAGGGATCACCCTGTATAAAAATGAAGATATTGAAACTTATTTGTTGGATTAGACATCATGTATTGAGATTATCTGAATAGTTACATTTTTCTTCATTTTCAATTTCACAGGAATTCGCCTTTTTTCCCTGTGAATTTGAATAAGTACAATGTAGATCTACATTTTATGCTTGAACGACGATTTGGTATTGTTGGTAATAGTCGTAAACCATAAAGGTTCGTGACAAATTGAAGCTATTACAGTACTGTGGTTAGGCCGGAAGAAATGCTGAAGATAATTATATGGGTAACATAGACGTAATTCCTGTGGTCGGGATATAATTCAGAATGCCTCTCAATTTTTTAATTTTCTTTCAGGGATGTCTTCAGCCCATTTGATAGCAGATAGTTTAAAATAGATTAGATTACAGTAAACCTGAGGACTCGTATGGGTCCTTTGTCTATTATCGCTTCTTATTCGCGAAAAAAGATTTCTTATTTTGTTACTGATAAACCGATTTTTATGAGCCATACCTCATTAGAAAGCTAAAGAAATTCTCCTTAAAAATTGTATCAAAAATTTACAAATGTCAAAAATTGAAGATGGCAGCACTATACACGGCATCCCTAAAAGGTCTTTACAAAATTTAGCACATATTCCCGAGTTCAAACTAAGCCGATTTGAAGTAACTTAGCTTAGTCAAAAATTGCTCCGATTCCGAGATGCAAGGTGGTATAGTTAGAAAATAAAAATCCTTTTTTTTTAGTTCATGAAAATTTGTTGCCAAAAAATTGGTAACCGGAGGTTTTTTGGGATGCGAAACCCGAATATGGACATTTTTTTATTGTGGCCTTTCACACTGCACTTCGGATCGTTTTAAATGGCCATAACTTTTTTCTCACTGTTGTTTTTTACTTTTTTGTTTAAAAAAAAATTCCTCGATATTTTTAAGCTGTTAAAATATGGTATAGTGATCAGTTTTCGAAAAATTCGCAAAGTTCTGCATCAATATAGGTTGTGGGGATCACAGGAATCAAAATGGTCAGAACTTTACAAAAACTGAGTATGTTATAGATCCCGTCAAAATGAATAGTTTTTTTTCCTAAAATAAGTATTTGAATCAAATTTAGTAAAAATGGCTGTGGTCTCAAAAAACTGATGCCGAAGAAACGATATTTTTTTAAAACATTTAAGACCCTGTATCTCGAGAATTAATCATTTCTCACTGCATCTTTATAGAAAAAAATGTTTAATTTCTATGCAGTATCTGCTATTAATTATTAATTTTAATGTGACCTAACTTTTTTGACAGTGACCTTCTGGAAAATAATATGAAAAAAAATAATTTATTAAGAAAAGCTCACAAGATAAGGTTTAAATGCAATATAATGTTTGCAGAAACAGTCTAAGATTAATTTTTACAAATCAAAACCTATACTATCAAAAGTGAAAATGAACAGTAAATAAACGTTTAAGGTGTAATTAAATAAATAAAAATGTTATTTCGCTTGTTGAATGGCTAGAAACTAATGAACGAATCCTCCGTTGTTTACCCCTTTTACCAAGGCTCTGAAAATTCTTCACCGGTCTTCCAAAAGTTCTTGTTGATTCTTGCTCTGAAGTAACAACGGTTTGCTTGGAAGTCGGAAATCCTTGGTTCAACCAAGCCTCATTTTTCTTTGTAAAAAACTTATCTCTATGACAAGGTTTCCATCAAATTTCCACATTTTTTTAATATAATAAATGTTTATACATTAATGTTTTTGTGATGTAAAAAATATAACTTAAGCGTTTCTAACAGTTGAACTCTATTTTTGGTTCTGTTCAAATACCACTCGTTCAATAATTCTATATTTTTCATTTTGGTTGGTTTTTGTTGCGCAATAAACTCGAAAAATTTGTCTGCAAACGTTGCAAATATTTGCAGCTGGTTTTTTCTCTATGTATTGAGGTGTCTCAAACGCACAATTTAAACTTGTTTTTAAACAGGGAAATACCTGCATTTTTTATCAGAACCCATCATTTCAAATTCAGTTGTTTTTACAAACGTCAACAACAATATTGAACTTAATAGGTCAGAGCATTCTGTGATTACAGTTACGTCATCGGGCACGCCTAAATTTTAACAAAATTTATGATGCAAATTGATAAAAACTATTTTTTTGCTTTGAAGTTAAACAAAAGATGAAATAATGTAAGCAAAAAGAAATTTTGCAAATAGGTAATTTTGGGTTTTAAAAAATATTTTTGCAGAAAAAGAGAAATTTAATATTTATACTATTTTCGCGGAAATGGTACCCTCTGAACCACTGTGAGCCCGCCGGTGCGAAGGGTTCCTGAGTCTATCCATTAGAGAAGAGTCATCTATCATCGAGCATGGGTGATGTAGTCGGGGCGGCAGCACCCCAAACATGAGAGCAATACTAGGGGCTCGGTCTTATCTGGGCCTTGTAGAGAGTGTGGAGAAAAGCACTTCTCAGCAATAAACAAATAGCCTAGCTCTTCCCAGTAACTGCCGTTATTGACCACCCCAAATGAACGACACTTTGGCATAAACTCGGCCATCCATCGAAACCGGATGAGCGCTGGGACGATTTTTGTTTGTCAAGGTACAGTACAGTGTTTTGGAAGCATGAAACTGTGCAAGATTGTTGCGTCCCCAAGCAGTGATAACCTCCAGGTCTCTTATCAGCGAGGAAGTCGCTGCTAGTCTTCTTTTCTCTAGCTTACCGGCTGAGATCGGCTAGTCAGTCTGAATTCCTGCATGCAGACTGCCGTCATCAGAAAATCTGCGGATGAGATTGATCCTAAGGAGGTCGTTGATATGTAAGAGAAACAGTGTCGGAGCCAAGCCCGAGCCCTGGGGAACACCCGCGTTGACGATGTGGAATGAATCCATCAATTACGATGGATTTACGGCCAGAGGGGAAGTCAGCCACCCAACTGCAAGCTTCTCTAAGAGATCATAGGTTGGAGGTTTGCATAAGAGGGCAGGATGCCACAGCTGATCGAACGCTTTCGTGATATCAAGAGCAATGACATGAGCATCACCATATGACTACTCTCCACTCTTATTTGTTATGTACCCTTTATGTCATGTGTCTAGAGCAAGATTACTTTGTTTTGGTTCTCCAGCTCTCTATTTTTTATACTAGAATCACCACTAAGGCTTAATCACCAGTGGGTACTGTGGGACTATAGGGATACAGGAGAAAGGGGGAACGTCATACGGGCTCTAACTAGGGAACACACAGACAACAGCTCTCCTATTAACTTGAAAGGATATTATTTTCCCGAAGTCTTAATGAGTACCTGGCTGTCTAAGCAGATGACAATCGACTGATTTGTAACGGGAAGTCGTTAATACAATTATTGTACGACGCCTTTATCGCCTCCTTAATTTTCTCGACTTTTCTCGCCTTCAGAAAGCTGGCGTATCTCTAGATTGGTACGGTACCCACAGGTGTTTAAACCTTAGTGGTGATTCTAGTATAAAAAAGAGAGCTGGAGAAAGAAAACAAGGTAATCTTGTCCTAGATACATGACATAAACGGCACACGACGAATAAGAGTAGAGTCATAGGGTGAGGCTCATGTCAGCTACTGTTCCCCGTCAGAGTCAGCGCTCTCATACAGGGTGTTTCAGAACTAAGGGATCAAACTTCTAGGGGTTATTCAGTGTAACAGTAGAAAACATTTCAGTATACGAGGGATGTCTTTTAAGTTTTGCATATAGAAACATGCCGCGCGGATAGAACGTCAGTACTGAATCTTAACGTCACTCTTTAGTAAACTTAAATTCAAAGTTTCACAACAATACGTGCAGTGTTCTCACTACAGTGAATTTTTAAGTGTCACCAAGTCATTAGAAAAATGGAACTCAACCGAGAACATTTTCGCGCCATAATTTATTACAACTTCCAGAGACAATTATCGCAACAAGAATGCCTTGCTGAGTTACTGTCTCTTTTCGGCAACGAAGCGCCACATAAGTCGACAATTTCCCGTTAGTATGGAGAATTCAAACGTGGACGGGTGAGTCTTAGCGACGATTCCAGGGTGGGTGCACCAAAAACGGCAGTCACCCAGGAAAACGTCGATGCTGTGCGCAAACTCATCATTGAAGATAGACATGTGACATATCGCGAAATTGAGGCGTCCTTGAAGATCTCAAAGACCTCAATTCAAAAAATTTTACATGAAGAATTAGGAGTAAGAAAATTAGTTTCTTGTTGGATACCCCACCTGTTGACTGAAGAGCAGGAAGCAGCCAGGGTTAATTGGTGTCAAAAAACGCTTGACCGTTTAAATTCCAGAAACTCAAAAAATGTGTACAGCATTGTTAGTGGTGATGAATCGTGGATTTACTGTTATGAACCAGAAAATAAACGACAGTCGGCGGGTTGGGTGTTCCAAGGTGAAGAAAAGCCAACAAAAGTCATCCGTTCTCGAAGTGTTTCGAAAAAGATGGTCGCGACATTTGTGTCAAAAGCGGGTCATATTGCAACAATTCCTCTTAATGAGCAAAGAACTGTTACTGCGGATTGGCATACCACCATTTGTTTGCCAAAAGTCATCACCGAGCTTCGAAAAATCAACCCCGAAAGAAGAATCATCCTCCACCAAGACAATGCAAGCTCGCACACAGCCCAAAAAAACAAGGCAGTATTTAACGAAAGAAAACGTGGAATTACTGGACCATCCTCCATATAGTCCCGATCTAAGTCCTAACGATTTCTTTACTTTCCCGAAAATTAAAAACAGACTGCTTGGTCAAAGGTTCCAGTCACCAGAAGAAGCAGTTGGCGCATTCAAAAATGCCGTTTTGGATCTATCAGCAAACGAGTGGAATAAGTGCTTCGAAAATTGGTTCGAGCGCATGCAGATGTGTATTAATCTTCGTGGAGAATACTTCAAAAAACAATAAAGTCATTTAAAACTACCTACCGTGTTGTTTCATTTCCATATGCAAAACTTAAAAGACATCCCTCGTAGGGACCCATATCCGGAAAAATGTCACTACGGCACTACGGCCCTAAGACGCGCTAAAATTTAGAAAGACGATGAATTGCCTAAATAGGATTTAATGCATTCAATTTTTGCCTTTTGTACATGATATCGTCACAACAATCATTCAAAATGTCTTCCTCCAACCTCAAACACCGAACATGATTTCGGCGGACTTGACTAAAAATTTGATACTTGAATGATTTCAAATGCTGCTGTAATTCGTCCAATTAAGTCTTGCTCTGCTTCTACTGGAGTTTTGTAAACCAAAGACTTTACATGTCCCCACAGGAACGGTGTATTCATTTTGAACAATTGTTGCGATGATATCATGTACAAAAGGCAAAAATTAAATGCATTAAATCCTATTTAGGCAATTCATCGTCTTTCTAAATTTTAACGCGTCTTAGGGCCATAGTGCCGTAGTGACACTTTTTCGGATATGGGTCCCTATACTCAAATGGTTTCTACTGTTACACTGAATAAACCCTACAAGTTTGATCCCATAGTTCTGAAACACCTTGTATTGTGAGGTTATGTTTTCTTTTTGAACTGTAGGAAATTTCAGGCCGATAAAACAGATGATATAAATCGGAACATGAACAACTTGATGTAAATAAATATTTGCAACATTACCTCAAAATAGTGCGCTGATATGGAAAACACTGAAAATCAAGGAGGCCATAAAGATGTTCTCTAATTGTAGGAACGACTAACGATACGGCCCTAAGTTAATATTGTGCCTTTAGCGACGATATCAGACGCCCTTTTTTGCGGCGAGTATGCTTAAGTTCATGTCAATTTTTCCGTCGACCAAAAAATACGAGTTAGATAATGTGAAACAAACCTGGTGTCTTCGAACGGAAGCCAACTTTTCTGTAATTTTATTTTGTCCTGTATGTATAATAAAAAAGGAGCAAAGAACTTTGTCCAGTACACGGTAAATTCAGCATTCTTGGGCGTGACGCGTCATACCGCCATAGAATAACAATAGTGGTACCAACTTAAAGTATTCACAGCATGTTTAACGACAGCTTCCTGTCGGTGTGGTACTACTGACGATGTGACGGTGCCAGTTCGGGGACTTTCTTGTTGCTATGTTGTATATTTTCATCACGAAATTCATTAATGGGCAATCAGAATGTACGTTAGTCCACACAAAACATCTACAAATTAGAATATGTAAACCGTATCTTTTTATTCACTAAAACGGACGTTTGTTAGAAGATTGATTTGTCAGATTCTTATTCTCTCACATTTAAACACATTTGGGGCCAGGCACCTATACACAGCTTAAGACTGCCATTTCCACTTGATTTGTTTTCAATTAATTGTTATCAATTAGGTATTTACTGTAAGTTATCACATACTTGAATAAGGCATTAAAATTTTGCTTACCATCAGGATTGTTGGTTCCTGTCGTAGAAGAACCTTCTTCTGATCCACTTCCTGGAGATGCTAAGTTTTGGCCTTGATTTAAACCTAATCCTAATTGTTCAGCTATTTCTGAGTGATCTTGATGGTGGATATAGTCAAATATACTACTTCCAGTCATTTCCACCTGTAACAAAATGTAACAATATACATACCTGAAGCATTAACATGTTCTAAGGACTTTTCAATGTGGGAACGTTTCTTGTGCTACGTAAGAGAGGCAGATGGGTTGTCAAGTATCAAAGAAGACAGTCTGTTTGGATCTCAGGCCCCCTGTCTGTTTATTGCCTTGTTGTTAAATTAACACTTGATGTGAATGTTTTATTTCCCACGTTAATTGACGCGATGAATTTAAAAAAAAACAAAAAAAATGGCACTCATTGCCGTCGATCTGTTTGTTTTTTAGTCTATCTGTTAATTCTTGACCCCTCTTTATCTTTGAAAAGAGGGGTCATGTCAAATTTTGTAAGAAGATGGTACTGTGCCAAGAAAAAAGCTTTGCAGTTTTTTAAAATCGATCCAGTGGCGGCGGTTTACGGGCAAAAATAAAAAAACAAAGAACCCTTAGACTTCGGTTTTTGACGTTCCTGGCGTTCCTGTACGTTTTTGAGGGGTAACAATTGTAAATATCTAATGTTTGGAATCAGGAAAAAGGGACTATCATTTTTCCCTAAAAATAAGTACAACTTTATTTCATAGCGCTTTTAAAAAAAATTACATGATAAAATTCATATTAGGCCCTATAAGTTTCATATACAACTTTTTCTTTTGGAAAGCCATATACAAAGTTGTAGGGTGTCAATTCATTGCCGGACACCCTGTACATACTCAACCTACTTGACGTTATTTTTATATAGACATGAGAAGTGATATGTGCATGATCCGGCGTTTCTTGTCGAAAACAGTGGAATAAGGAATCATTGAAACTAACGATTGAAGGAAGGTCTACTTCTCGCTTACGGTATATATTTGACAACTCTCTGGTCACTCGCATGTGTCAAAATTGTCGAAACAGATGACGCGTCCTCACAATAAGACCTCAAGTGAAGAAACCACTATGCATTCCCCCCTTAACGTAGAATTATTAAGTTATATTATATTATATTAGAAACGGGTATTATCTAATTTATATTTTCTTCGCAGAATCTTGAATTGACTGCTTTACCTTTTAGCGAAAATTAGTATAAATAAGAGTGAATCCCAGTTACTGTACATATTTCAATATTCCATTTTGCAGAACTAATATTCGTTTAAACTCTCCACTGGTGCGGATGCAAAGAAATCTGAACAACTATGGTAAATTTGCTGATACCTTTGCTTGTGAATTATTAGAGTTTAAATACTTGATAAATAACAGAATGTTGGTAAGCTATGTTCCAGTTTTCTGTTTTGTGTCTCATTACTGAATAGTATATTATACCAAGGTATTTTCATATACGGAGATTATAAATAACAGTCCTTATAACTTAGTATGTTTAATTATACTGTGGATGTCTATTTTGGAGATTTCCTCTGTTTGATATCCCTAATTTGTTGAATAAATAAATAAATATAAATGGTCAAAATCCAAACTTTCATTTTTCTTTGTCCACCACATTTTGTTGTGACTAAATTGACAGAATGCTGCACTGGTCTCTTTTGGGTAACAGTCGCTTGTAGTGCGTTTCATTGAATCTTTTGAATAGTGTTTCGTCTACGTGTGGAAGCATGTAAACTAATTTTTTCTTGAGTCTACTTTAGAGGCAACGAATGAATATTAAACCGAGGATCTAATTGCGTATGCAAGGCGCTCGCAAACCAAAACAAAAACTTCTCATTTACTGTTATGTATTTTAGAATTCCATTTGCTATCAGTAGACAATGGTACTGTTAGGAAAACTGAACGAATCAGTTTAACAGTATTGGTACTTTTAATATGTGCTGGTATCCGGTGCTTTACTTTCCAAGAAAAAAATTATATATATATATATATATATATATATATATATATATATATATATATATATATGTATATATATATATATTGGAGAGGGAAAGAAATTGAGACACGAAGTTACAAACAAGAGCCAACCTACACATTGTAGTATAAAATGGCTAGAAGACCTCGAATTTTCACCACAATCACGCGGCCGGGTATAGCCACTTGTTGTGGTACTTCAAGACCAAAGAATCTACAAAGAGAAAAAGATCATGCGGAAAAAGGTATATAACCAATAGAAAAATAATGGGCAAATTCCGCAAAAAGAAGGAAAGTGAGTGAATTCGAGCAGAAAATAGGATAGGCAACCCGAGCGTTACCTATTTCTGCTTGTTCGCTTCATCGGGCCCGAAATGAATGCACATATGCAACTACAAACGTAGATACACATGCCCATACATCCGGATACGGGTGTAACCTGAGGAAGCGAAGATGTAGAGGGAAAGAAATGTACACACCATTCATAAAAAAGAGTCAACCTACACATTGTAGTATAAAATGGCTAGACGACCTCGAATTTTCAATTTTCAAAAACAATTCTAGAGAGATCATTTGTTTCAAATTGAACGGGGAATTCAAAAATAGTTTTTATTAGTCAAAAAACCATTGGCGTACCATTTTTTCTTAAAAAATATCGATGTCAATACCCGTACGCACGCCATTGTTAAAGCGAAAAATTATTTTTGCATTGAAAAATATGCAACTTTATTAACTTTCACTACGTACTAAATATCAGTGAAATATCTGAAGCGGTTCTGAAAATATTAATTAATTTCCTTTTTTTCCAAAACTTCAACACCTCGAGTTTTTGTAAAGAAACATTTTTGGATCATAGTTTATAAAGCAAACTAACATTCATTTTTCATGTAGATTCACATCCTTAAATATTCGCATAACATTAAAGAACACCCTGTATATAAAACACGTATTGTCAGGGTAACCTATCCTACTTGCTGCTCAAGTCGACTTTCCTTCTTATTGCAGATTTCGCCCATTATTTTTCTATTTGTTACATATCAGATATAATTTTGAATTTAAAAAAAAATCTAAGAAGAATACCTACGAGTGGTGTACCACCCGGTAGATTGTGGGGTGCAAGAAAGAGAAAAATTCCGTTCCGTCAAGGGTGTTTTTGGGCATACACGGTATACGGTATTTTATCCGCTAGCTGAGTCTCGAGACAGGCGACCGCTCGAGCCAGAGGCAGAAGCAGAGCCAGCCTGGATGGAGAATGCTCCTCACGTAGTTCTCTGTAGCAGCGTGCTTGCCATTTATAATGGCTCTGCCGGGGCCCATAATCAATAGGGTATTTGCAACTGCCGAGAAAATGGCAGACCTTACAGGAACACGTACATATTATCACCTACAATGCCTCCTTGGACAACGATTTTTAATATCCCCACGTCGAACTGCCTCATACGGAGAATGATATATTGATACAAGGGCTAACTTGATTTTGGAGTTTCTTTAGGATACTGTCTGCCTCGTTCAAGCTGGAAACACTGTACTTAAGTTTTCACTGTCAGTGACAAAAAGTTGAGCTTTTTCCGTCATTGTGTTATTTGGATCTTGAATAGTTAATTTAAATAGCTGAAACGAAAGTTAGTGTGGAATAGATTTTAAAGTTTCTTATAGATACTGTGTTCTAGTACAAAATGGAAACTGTGTTCTAATGTCCACTATAAGTGAGAAAATGTTGAAATTTTTTGCGTCATTGGGTTCTTCGAATTCTGAATAGTAATTTAAATAGCTGCTACCACTGGCGAAGCGTTCATGTAACCATTGATACCATTGGTAACAGTTAAAAGTCTTAAAAATAAATATATTATGACTAAGTGCTGTGAAATAGTTTCATTTATTTGTTTACCAACAGCGATATGTAATAGTCATTCAGTAAATAGCAAATAGGCCCCACGAAAATAATGCGCCGTATAGTGTCTAGGTTTTGCGAACATGATGAAGCTGACTCGCCTCGACTTGGTTGTCGGTTGTTACCATTTTCATTTATGGATACACTTGGTAGTCTGTCGGGGACCGTCGGTACCGGCTCGTGTCTGATCGCGGTCGCCAGAGTGCGTGAGGCGCTGCGACTATTATGTGGGCTTGTTACCATTTTTTGATTTGGTTATTCACTTCTCACTCGTTAGTAGCCGTTTTAGTTACCGGCTGTAGTAAGCGTGCAATTAAACGTGGATGAGTGTCGCTGCGTAATCGATCAACTACTTGAAAAGTAATTCTCCTTGTATAATTTTTAAGAAACAAAGGAGATCATTGAAAATGGAAGACCAACGCCTATTTTAGATAATTTTAATAAGAAATAAAAAAACGCAGTTTGATATTTTAAATTTAACTTGTTTCTGTGGTTATAAAAAAACAGATTGTCTTCTGTTTTATGCAGAATAAAATGCAGCGGAGTCAACGATTTAAATAGTTTTAGGGCTCTAAAGAGGAGACATGAAATTTCTCCGTTACATGTGAGATGTGTTGCCAATTTAATTCAGTTTGGCAAAACAAGAATCGAAAGTTGTCTTAACCAAGCTTTTAGGCAGCACACTTCTAGATACCGTATGTTTTTTGGCAAAACAGGAATTACCGTTCATTTTGAAGGGGATGACTCTGACAATAGAGGAAATTACAGGGAATTGTTAAGATTCATTGCCAAAAAAGATCAAAAATTTTCCAAACATCTAGAAACGTCGACTATTTTTCGGACTGTTTGGATTTGTCATAGCATACGACGATGAAGTACATCAAGTGCCCCAGACGCTCAGTCCAGGAATGTTTACCTTAATTTAAAAATATTTTAAATAAAATAGCTAAAATAAGCAAAAACTTATATTTGGGAAGTTCGAAATAAACTTGTTTTTAATAAGATTTTTCACATCTGGTTTTGGTAACAGTTTAGGGAAAGTCACGCGTCGCCACTGGCTGCCACGATAGTTAGGGTGGAGTGGATTTTGAAGTTTCTTATAGATACTGTGTGCCTAGTGCAAGCTGGACACTGTTATCCAATTTCCACTGTAAGTGAGAAAATGTTGAGCTTTTTGCGTCATTGCGTTATTCGAATTGTGAATAGTTAACTTAAATAATTGCCAGGAAAGCCAGGGACCAATGCTTTATGGGCAATGCTGACATATTTTTTTATCGTTCTCAAGTGTTGAATTTTTTGGGAACATTCCTTATTGTTGGGCAGTTAAAGGGTTCATAATCTTTATCTTTATTCATATCCAATTGATATAGATTTATACGTGGTAAAGAAATGTAGTACAAAACAATAAATATCAATACAAATGTAACTACATATGAATGAATGAATAACTATTGATACCATCTTTATGTACTCAAGTGCAAGTCTGCACATTCCAAGTACTCAACTACATCGTGAAATGAATTTTTCAAAAATAATTTCCTTATTTATTTTTTAAATGAAATAGACATTTGTTAAATTTTAACTTGCAATTTGTTGAATAATATGACGCAGTTGTAAGAGGACCTTTTGAAATAAATGGTAGTATGTTTCTGAACCATTTTAAAATTTCTTGTGTTGATATTGATATTTGGAAATAAACTATTATACTCCTTAACATAGGTTACCCATTTCAAAATACCGATTAAGAATTTCCCTTGACTTAAAAATTTCTCTGCAGGAGTCAAGAAAGAGGCTTCATTCCAAAAACTAATCTGTAAAGCACAATGTTGTAAGATATGTGGCTATAAGAAATTGCATAATATATATTCGAAGGGTTACTAGATTAACATGCAAATAACTTATAATGAAGATTCTGTACTAACCTGTGAAAGTCCTAAATATATTGATACAGTCTCTGAGATATATAAAAATCTTCCATCCGACGCAACAGCCAAGGCAAACCCATCTAACGACTGAAATAAAAAGGAAATTCATCTCATCACTTGAGAAAAGACTAAAATTTTGGGTCTGTACGCTTAGATAATTTGGGACGCTGAACTCACATGTAAAGATAAAAAAGTGCTTTGGGCAAAATTTAGGATAGAACTTGAGGTGTCTGTCGGTGCCAGCGCGAAAATGACGTCGGATTTGAAATCCAGTTATTCAGTTATCGATTGTTGCTATTACATATCAACGGCCAAGTCGATCCACAGCTTTGCTGATGACAGCACTCTGCATGCAGGAATTCAGAGCGACAAGTCGATCTCTGCCGGTGAGATTAGTAGCGACTTCCCCTCTGACGAGAGATCTGGTGGTTATCACTATCATGAATCTATGGAGGTGGAAACCTTGCGTTAGAGCGTACCTGGTGGTGTTGTCAAACCAATTCGCGATTCAAAAATGTGTACACTCAGAATAAAACCATTATTTGGGCGTGTATGCATGTTTGCATGTATCTTTGTATGTATTTACATATGTTTGTACGTATGTATGCATGTATGTATGTATGTATGTTTGTATGTATGTTTTCACGCCTATGTTTTGCTGTGAAAATTAGACTTGAAGGTGTTGAAATCGAGGGTGAAAGCTACTATAGGGAAACTATCATTTTTTAAAGCTAGGTATACATCTATGGGTTTTACATGCTCGGTTCTTTGATACAGTGTAAATAGGCACATACAAGGGAATTTTGTAGATTCCACCCCTAAGAGGATACTGTGGGAACTCACACTTTTCAAGTTTTTTTGTAGAGAATTTAGAATATTTCAGATTAATCCAGCCTAAAAGTAATCTTAAAATAATTATTATTAACCAAGAACTTAAAAAATTATTTCCTTAAGGTGGGGTAGGAGGGGGTTAAATATTTCTACCTTATCACGTTTATGGAAATTTATCTCGAACAATATTTTACATATAAAGGCAGCAGCGGTGGCCGCAGTAGTAGTTTCTTCGGTCTCCTGATCAGTCGCCGAACGCAGAGAGGTACCACCCGGCGGATCTCGTAGGCGGGGCCAGATTGTGTGCATGTTACATGCACACGTGTTCCCTCGCCAGAGTCCGTGTGGAGTTCCCCCTTTCCCCTGCGTCCCCCTATAGCCCCACGGTACCCCATGGGTGTTTAGGCCATAGGCCTTCGTCGTAGTTGGTGTATAAAAAAAACATGAAATTTGGCGGGGAGGTTGTTTATGGACTAGACTTGTCTGCTGAGAACTAATTTTGGAAGAGGGCCAGAACAAGGGGGGCTATGGGCAGATAGATATGAATGCAAAAAGATACTCATTAATCACGAAATCTCGAAAACCATTTAACCCATGAATATGAAATTTAATAGAAACGTAGTTTATGGGCAGATTATGTCGTTTAAGAACGTATTTCACAACAGGGCCGGATTAAGTATACTTTTAATTTCTATGTTCTGTATTGTCTTGAAGTGACATAAATTAAGGAGATGCATGAATTGCTCCACTATTTTTCATATTGTTGTATTGTATTGATGTTCTGTGTTTTATGACATTTTTTGATGTTTTCAATCTTGATTGTAAATGACAATTTCGCAAGGAACATATTAGTGAAATCAATTTTTATGTATAATATACTAAGTGACATATAAATTCGAACACCCAGTTTAAATGGTTTTATTTTAATAAAAGTTGGTGAATGTATTTATCTTACTGTAAATAACAAGTGAAAAAATTTTCAGCCTTATCAGTTGGACATTCCGGTTTTTATACTGCTTTTTTTTATTCACTAACGCTCTAAAAATGAATATTTCAGCCGCAGTAAAGAATCAACGTTGGCGGATTTTGGTTCTTGACATCCTTTACGATCGGTTACGATGCCTAGAGTACGGAGACCTGTACGATTTCGTCAACTTAGTGAGTTTGATAGGGGCCGTATAGTGGGACTTCGGGAAGCTGGATTTTCTTTTCGGGCAATTGCAGTTAGAGTGCAAAGAAGTGTAGACACTGTGGTTAGGTGTTGTCAGGCATGGCTTCGAGAAGGCCGTACGCAAAGAGCAAGGGGCACTGGACGCCGCCGTAGAACAACAGACCGTGAAGATCGCCGCCTAAGATTATTGGCCTTAAGGGACCGTTTCTCCACTATCAGGTCCATTGCAAATGAATGGTTTGCAGAACACGGAAGACCTATTGGCATGCGAAGTGTTTACCGACGAATGAGAAGTTTTGGCTTGTTTTCATACCGGCCACACTGGGTCCTCCCTTTAACTCGAGAACACCGACGTAATCGCCTTGAGTGGTGAAGACAACGGTCACTCTGGGATCAGGAATGGAACAGTATTGTCTTTAGTGACGAGTCTCGATTTTGTTTAGGCATGCACGATGGTCGTGCCAGGGTTAGAAGGCGAAGTGGTGAAAGGAGGAATCCACAGTTTTTTGTTGAATGACATGTTCATCACACTGTTGGAGTTATGGTTTTGGGTGCTATAGCTTATGGTTCCAGATCACCTTTAATCTTCATCAGAGGTAACATGAACGCGCAGCGTTATATCCACGAAGTTCTAGAACCCTATCTTTTACCCTATCTTGACACCCTGGCAGATCCAACTTTCCAACAAGATAATGCCCGACCACATGTTGCAAGAGTCACAATAGACTTCTTTCAACATAATGATGTCACATTGTTACCATGGCCACCAAGATCTCCCGTGTGGGATATGATGGGTAGGAGATTGCTCAATTTGCAACGTCCTACTCAGACTCTAGAAGCACTTCGAGAGGAGTTGGTGCTTGCCTGGAATGAGATACCACAGGAGGACATTGACCACCTGATCAGAAGCATGCCTAGGCGCGTTGGAGAATGCGTAGCCGGTATTAAAATAAAACCATTTAAACTGGGTGTTCGGATTTATATGTCACTTAGTATAGTTTTTATGTTGACACATGACACTTAATGTGGCTCATTTTTTTCTAAGACAAAATATATATAGAAGCAAGATATACATTAATGACGAAATTTCGGAACCTGTTTAACATATGAACATCTGGTAGAGAAGGAATGGCAGCCATAAAAGGATTTTGTAACAGGTATGAAATAAGGGGGCTAAGGGAAGATATATGTAAAAGCGAAAAGACACATTATTCGTGAAATCTGGAAAGCTACTTGACCTACAAATATGAATTTTGGCAGGGACGTAGCTTATAGACAATACATTTCAGGTTAAAACTGACAAAGCGCTTTTTTTTGGCCAGTGAACAAGTACAAAAAACAGTAGCTGACAAGGAGAACGTACATCCTTAATTATATTGGATATCCGTCCCATATTAACAGGCTGACACCATTTTTGTGTTTCGTATCAAGGCAAGAATGTCCAGTTTAACCTGTATATCAAATTTCACATAGGCTTCATCGATAATTTCATTCAAATGAATTAGTCATTGTTTTTTCCTGAGCGCCATTTTAAATTTTTTTCGCCTGATTTGTATTCCTTGTGTCACTTCGAACATGTAAGCTTGGCTACGTCATACGTATCGTGAAATAAAACGCTCCGAGGTAAGTGCCAATAAAACGTTTTGTGACAGTGTATAAGCACTTACATGCGAACGTATATTCACAGGATGTTATTCCTATAAGTGCATAAATAACTTACATATATATATATAGTCTTTGGTTTATTGGAAATAAGTTACATCGTTGTTGTAGCTTCGAATGAATGATGATAAGTAGCATCTTTGCTGAATCAAAGTCTGAGAAAATTGAGTTTAAAATTATGGATCTTTTTGAAACTAAATAAATAGTATTATTACGACAGAAAAGCAGTAGCGTATGATTTACTGATTTTATATTCTGCAAAAGTTACTCCTTTTTTTTGTAGTTTTCATAATCTATTTATATTATTTTTTCAAAAGAAAAACGCATGAATGCAGAAGTACATCTTCTCAATATAAATATTCAAATTGTGTTATGTGGGATTTATGAAGTTTTTGGGATGCATTGATTGCTACATTTATGAAAATTTTGGAAAATTCTTGCATATTTGTGGCCCGTATGAATGATTCATTTTTAAAGGAGAAATAAAATGCTATCTTTTTTTCAAATACTTACTCTCCGGGATACTAAAGTCTCAGGTTCAGAGGTTCAATTATAAATAATGGATCAATCTCAATCATTAATAATTCTGGTAAACTTTTCGAAATAATCCTTTATAATCGGATTTTTCCCTTTACCCGCATCATCATATCTGAATGTCAACATGCTTTTACGAGTATGAATGGTAGATCAACTGTCACCAACTTGGCGATGTTCACTTAATTGGCATCAAATATTTTGGATCGACAGTGCCAGTTAGGCGTAATGTACACGGATTCTGCAAAGTCATTTGGTAAAGTTGATCACAGGACACTACTTGCTAAATTGAATTTTTTGATTTCACTGACAACTCGTTATCTTTCTTAAAGTCCTATTTACATAATCGTCAGCTATTCAGGGTTCAGATTTGGGACCGTTGCTTTTTTGCTCTTTGTTAACGATATAAGTAACAATATCCATTGTGAAGAATTAAAATTTGCCGACGAACTGAAATTGTTTTTTGAAATCAACAGCATCACTGATTGTGAGTATGGCATCACCTTACATGTTATATTAATGTTTGTTTCCTAAATTTGTACAAATTAGTATTGTTTTTTTCATTGCCGTCATATTTCAATTCTTTGTTCTGTAAATGGAATTATAAGAATTATTATTATTATTACTGACACGGGACAAGACGCAAAATTCCGGGACATTCCCGGATTTCCTGGGAAGCATATTTTGGCCCATAGTCATATACGAATTCAAAGCCCCAAATTATCTATATGCGCAGGGTTTGTTTCGCTCATCATTTGTAGACACAAAGGATGAAAATCGAAATGTTACATGGGGCGCTGTGTCATGGTATCATAGCCAATGACTGCAAAGGAGAAATGTTAGTGTTGTGCTTATAAAAAAATCATGCAATCGTACATACCTGTAATATGTGCGTGCCTTGATGTTGTTCGAATATTTCCATTGCTAACCCTGCCGAAGACCTACTCCTACCAGCTGAAAAGAAAAACGAAATTGATTAAAATGTGTTTGTCTCAAATCGACAAAGAATTAGTATAGTTAAAAAGTTTCGACAGCAGTTATAGATGTTGGGCAGCTATCAGATTTTCTCTGTCCGTATAAGGCTTTCTTGAAGGGAGAAAAACAAAATGGTTGAGTGAAGTGTTAAGCTGGATAACAATCCAATGAATATAATTACAAGGGAGGTAATGGGATATTGTTTAATCCAGAGGGTCCATTCTAAGAGATTGATGACGTGTACTCGCTCAACCTAGAGCATCCTAGGTAACGGACTGGAAATATTTCATGAATTTAAATACTTGGGGCGAGAAGTATGCTTGTACTCATAGCTTGGATTTTTCGGGAAAGTATAATCAATGAAAGACAGTGTTGCAAAAACTAACGATTTTTTAATCTTGTGGTAGGTACGTTGCAGAACAATAGGATATATTTCTGTGAGGTTTTGTCCTTTTTTTGCTTTTTTATCTGCATTATGATTTTGTAAATATCTGTAATTAGCATCTTTGTGTCTGAACTACCTTCTCTTGCTTGAATAATAAAATATTTTTTTTGTAATCCGGACTGTGTCCTATCTGTAAATGGCTGATGCTGTTGAGTAGTGTAGAAATAAATAAATTATAATCCTGAATTAAAAAACATAACAAATTGTTCTCGCACAAAAAATACCAACTGTGCTGCTCTCTTTGGACCATTTTCTACATTTTGAAAAAGTACAAGTTCAGGTTCTGCACGGTCTAAAACTTCGACAAAGCCATCGTCACATTTTCATTCGTTCACATTGTCTTTAGTACTAGCATTCAACCTTTTCGATACCAAAAAGACAACGTAAATGATACGCTTTGGTGTGAGGCTTCTTCTGGAATCCAGCGAATAATTCGCGTTGGTTTGGAAGGGCCTTAATGAACGGTTGACGCGAGACGGATCATTTCTCAACTTATTCGCCGTCCATAAGTAAATTGTGTGTATAGCAGACGTAAAAACGGAGATGATATAGTTAAGAACTTGCTTTGCAACTATTTAGATATGAGGATCCATTCTGAGGGAAGCTTTGGTCTATTGCTAGTGTAAGAGAAACTCTGCAGGGTCGTATTCAATAGATTTAGTCGACTAATATCACTGATAAACACAGGATTTGTGCCATGACAATTTTTGGGTGTATCTTATGTATGTTGAGTCAGTTACGTTTTCTGTGTTGAATAGTACTGAGGTGGTCTGAGTACTGTTAATTTTTGTTAAAACGGTGTGTTGTTTTCAGTTTATTGTGACCGAGACTAGCTTTATGGACAATGCCTAGAACAGTTTTTGTTATGTGTGCGGAGAGCTAAGTTTTGAATCCCAAAAACGTACTTTTGCTCCCCTTGTGTTGAAAGCATACGAACATTTTGGAATTAAAGTTGGAGACCAAGATAAACTATGGGCCCCTTATATATGTTGTAAGACTTGTGTAACGTTGTTAACAGGTTGGTTAAGAGGCGACAATCGTAAAGTGCCCTTTGCGGTATCAATCGTTTGGAGAGAACCGAGAGACCATACTACTGATTGCTATTTTTGCCTCGCAAATATTAAAGGTATTGGAGCAAAGTCGAAACATACTCTCAACTATTTTAATTTACCATCAGCTTTGCGGCCCGTTAAGAATAGTGATGAACTTTCTGTCCCAGTTCCACCAGAATCTTGCTCTTTGGATTAAAAAGTCGAATCCACCGATTCTGAAAGTGATGGTACACAACGCGTAAAAATTTAAGATCCTTCATTTGACCTGTCAGGATGCTCAACAGCGCCGCATTTGATCACACAGGGCTAACTTAATGACTTAGTTCGAGAATTAAATCTGTCAAAATCCCAGTCAGAACTTTTAGCATCTAGATTAAAAGGATGGAATCTTCTCCACGGTGATGTTATTGACATTACTTTTTACCGAAAATGGCAACAAGACCTCACACACTGTTTCCGTTAAGAAAGGGAGTTGATATACTGTTCCGATGTCAACAATTTGTTTGACGCGTTAGGACAGAAACATGATCCAAATGATTGGCGCCTGTTCATTGATTCCTCTAAGCTTAGTTTAAAAGCGGTATTGGTACACAATGGTATTAAATATCGGTGTACCTATAGCGCACGCAGTTCATATGAAGGAATCATATGAAAATATGCGAGTTCTGTTAGAGCATATCCGTTATAATGAATATGGATGGGCCATATGTGCAGATTTAAAGGTAATAGCCCTTCTTCTTGGAATACAACTGGGATATATCAAATATTTTTGTTTTCTTTGTGAATGGGAAAGTCGTGCGCGAGATCGTCATTATGAACAGGAGTGGCCACTACATCAGGTATTAACTCTGGGCCTCAAAAACATTGCTTATGAACCACTAGCTGATCCCAAAAACGTGTTGGAAGAGGGTTTCTGCATTTAAAACAAACATTTGCAAAACTTAGTGAGGCAAAAATTAGAGGGCATATTTGTGGGTCCACAATATGGAAAATCACGGAAGGATGATGTATTTGACAGTGCTCTAACTGAATTACGAGCTTGGAATGCTTTGAAATTAGTTACCGCAGATTTTTTAGGCAATCTGAAGGCGGACGATTATAAAGATATTGTGGGTGAACTAATTAATGCTTATAAAAGAATGGGATGTAACATGTCTCTAAAAATGCACCTTTTGGATTCTCATATCGATTTTTTTCCGGAAAATTTAGGTGCGATATGTGATGAACATAGTGAACGGGTCCACCAAGACATTTCTGCTACGGAAAAACGATATCAAGGCAAATGGAGTGTCAATTTGCTTGCTGATTATTGCTGGACATTGTCAAGAGATACTTCAGGAGCAAAATGTCGCCGTAAAACATCGACACCAACATTCTGAAATAAATGTTTATTCGAGTGTTTATTAGTGCATCTAACATATCCTTATATTTTACGAGTATAAGCAGCAAATAAAATGCCTTATTGCAAGAAAACCGTGGGTGATAGAAAAAATCGAATGCTATTTCCGGCTTTTTGGGTACGTTTTACATAGTGCCCACCTAGTTTTGTCACAAAAAATTATTTAAATTTTGTTCACCAGTGTATTCAGCCCTGACTAACCCTTGAGGAGGAGGTACAATCGACTAAGCTTTTTACCCTTCTTCCAATAAAGAATACAAAATTTTTTCATGGCCATAAAATATCATGATTCAAAGATCACGCATGTTAAGATAAATTATAGAACAAATAAACTTACAATTACATAAAACATAAACAATTTGCATCGATAAATACTGAAAGTAAATATTGCAAAACGGAGCCAAATCAAATTAAAAGCGAAAACAAAACTTTGTCCCCATTTCCCAGCTCGATGTCAATTCATTAGACTGTTTGAGTATAAGATTGTTAGAGCGAGGCTCAATTTTCCATAATTATTTCACTTAACAACCAAAGGCGGAGGGTGCCTCCCTTTTGTAGGGGTCCAAACCGTACAAAAGTCAATGATTCGTCTTGCTGGATGAATGGCGTAAGAACTGAAAGTAATATCAACTGACTGATTTTGACTGGTGACTTGCTCATTGTTGACTCGACTTTTCTTTATCCTATGAGCATGAAGAGGGTGCCGGGGTATTTGTGATCTGTGCTTAGCACTAGGTTCTCACTGCCTCTTGGTTGATAGACTACTATTTTCCAGGCGGAATTTTATGCGATTCTATCGTATTTCACATTCTGGAGTGGGGAGGACATAGGAGAAGAATAACAATTTCCTCCCACAGCCAGGCTGCAATGAAGGCACCAAGTGTCTGCAAGTTTACTTCGAGCCTTGTATTGCAATGCAGGGAAGCTTTCGGTAGCGTTAGTATGGGTACTGGGCAGAATTAGGAGTGCTTGCGTAAAGAGTCAGGACTATAACGAAGAAGTGGACATCTAGATAACACTCTCTGAAATGGAGAAGTATCTCTAGATATCGCCGATAGGCACGGAGCTAAGAATGGACAATTTTGCGTTTCTTTCGATAGAGCCAAGTGTGAGCGCTGCGGAGTGGAGGAGGAGCAGACTATACTGGGGACCAACATTTTGGGTCCTCAGAATGTTAAGGAGGTGGAACTCAGGGCTGTACTCAACTTCTCTAGAAGAGCGGAGCTTGAAGCCTGGGAAATGTAGCGGTGCATAGAGGCCCGTCATGTATGCCTCTAATTTCGTTTATTTATTCATATTCTCAGGGATCGCAGTTGAGGGAAGCTTCGAAATACGTAAGAAAATCAAACGAAATTAATGAGATTTGAACTTGTATGCTGGCTTCTTATGGTAGGTGGTCGAAATCGATGACTGAACTTTTATCGAGTGACCTTAAATGACCTTCAAATGACTTCTTAGGGACAAACCGATCTCTGATTTGAATGATGGCAAAAAACTATATGACATGCGTCTGAACTAGAAGGTAAGATATTTCGAATATGTCTTTGAAGTGACCTTGAGATGACATGCGGTTGGGCTCATCTGCTCGGCGAAATGCCCTTGATATGACCTTGCAGCTACCAAATTGCAACAAAAAACGACATAAGAAATGACTACGCAATTTTCACGTAACGCTGTTAGTTAATTATCAAAAAATTAAATGAATGAAGTCAGCCAAACAGGCCGATACATTTAGTCCAGTTACCATCTGACAACATTGATGTACCCCACCAGTCAACCATGCTATATAAGCGTCAGAGCGCCAGCGGGGAGTGGTCAGTCTCAGACAGAACTTTTGCATACAGGTTGCCGCGACCGATACGCGACACGTTTATTGAAAATATCTAAGTAATAAGGATAAATGTACGGGAAAATCTATGACGGGCGAAAGCTGTACTGATAGGCGCGATTTTGAAAAACTACAAAGCTATTTTGTCCTGACATAATAGTAATCTTGTGTGAAAATTTAGTCAAAATCCGAGCGATATTTGTTAGGTTGGAAATGAGTGACTTGGTTTTTCCTGTCTTAGATGTCATATAACAC